TATCCTCCCCCATCCCACACCCCAGGACTGACTGGAACAAGAAAAGGCCAATATGGGTGGGAAGTGGCAATTTCCAGGAATGGTGGGGCTCTCTGCAATGGCACAAGGTCACCAGTGTCCCACACCCACCCTCCAGCTCTGGTTCACTGTCCATCCGGTCCCCACGGCCCCTCCCTCTTCCCAGGTTTGACTGCACAGCATGGGAACAGCAGGCCCAGGGGCGGGCGGGGGGGGGGGGGGGGAAGAGGTAGTGTGTGTCTGAGAGTGCCTGGCCCCGGCATTGGTGGGGTCCCATTCCCCCCTATTACCTCCTGCTTTGACTTCACTACCAGAAGACACATTGAAAATTCCCAGCAGCACACATGGTCCCTTGGGTGTTGCCAGGAGTGACCCCTCAGCACAGGCCAGGAATAAGCCCCCAGCACTGCCGAGTGTGGCCCTATCTCACCCGCCTAGTAGAAGGTGCAGGTGTCAGGAGTTTGCAAAAGGAAGGCGCGTTCCAAAACCAGGGGGTGAGTTGGTCTCCTTAAATTTGGCGGAGGGGATCATGAGGCCAAGCAGTGACCCCTGGGAGTTCGGGGGAATATGGTAAAGGTTTTGTGATATGCAGGCCTGCTGGCACCGTGATTTCAGAGTTCTCTCCTCCAGAACGATGAGATTGATACGTATTGTTTTCTGTCCCCTAAGTGCCTCCAGGAGGATCCCTCTGCGGAGCCAGGAGTAAACCCTGAGCATTGCCGGGTGTGGCCCAGACCGGTCCCCCAAACCTCTCCTCCACAAAAAAAGAATCTTTTTTTTCTGCATGCTTTTTAAACATTTGACAAGCAGAAAAAAATATCATCAGGGTTCTGTTGAACCCTTTGCTCCTGCAGCACGGCTGAGCCGCATCAGGGTCGTTGCTGGCTCCTAAGTCGCTCCGTTGCTTCTGGTTGCCAGTAAACTAATGGGAATTTATTGGCTCCCAAAACCGAACATCACAAGGAATGAACAGCCGCCAAGGACTCTGGCTCCCATTTTTCTGACTCTCTTGGCTCTGTTCTTGGCCCATCATCAGCATCATTGTGGACTGCATTTCCCCGTCTCAGGATGGCCAACGGGACCAGTGGGGCTCTGTTCCGAACAATTCCAGGGTAAAGTCCAGCTGCTCTGCCTTTTTTAGACTACCAAAAAATTTTTAACATATTCTACCCTTTATTTTTTTATTTGGAACACTCTAAGGTGAATGTTGTTTCTTTGATGGGATTCCCCCACATAGCTCTTTTTTTTTTTCAATAGTTTTTTCTGTTATTTTCTGGTGTTCTCCTCTACCTGACCCTTGAGCTCACTGGTTTAATACTGTGCCCCTACATTCATTTATTGGAAAGGGAGGAGGGCACATCCGTAGTGCTCAGGGCTTACTCCTGTCTCTGCCTTTAGGGATCACTTCCGGCAGGCTCAGAGGATCGGATGTGGTGCTGGGGATCAAACCTGGGTCAGCTGCATGCAAGACAAAGGCCTTATCCACTATTGCTCCGGCTTCTGTCTTCTGCTTCTGAGCCCTTCTTATTGCATTTGTTGGTCACCCATTAGACACTTAGGCACAGTGATTTCTGTTTGAATCTTCCTGGTTGAAGTTTTCTTCCACTGATTTCCCCGGGGTCAGGGGCTGGAGAGATAGCACAGCGGGTAGGGCGTTTACCTTGCACGCGGCCAACCTGGGTTCGATTCCCAGCATCCCATATGCTCCCCTGAGCACCACCAGGAGTAATTCCTGAGTGCAGAGCCAGGAGTAACCCCTGTGCATTGCCGGGTGTCACCCAAAAAGCAAAAAAAAAAAAAAAAAGAAAGAAAGAAAGAAAGAAAAAGAAAAAAATTCGCTGGGTTCAGCCGAGCAGCAGTAAGATTGTGGCTTTGAAGTTCTCATCAGGGAGTTGACTTAACCAATAGACTTGGGGCTCTTCTAAGCTTTTGCCTTCCTCACTGTGGGGAACTTTCCCTTTCTCCTTCTCATGGCTGGTTCTCTGAGGGTGACGGGTGAGGCTCGTGTCCATGTGGCCCTGGGCAGAACTGGGGTGTTGCGACAGCAGGTTCCCAAGCAGCGACCCAGGCAGCATTTTCTCAAGACTGAATTAATCTCCTGAAGGTTTCAGTGAGAGTGGATTTTGATTTAAATCCCAGGTCTCCTTCTCCATCCTATAAAAATGCATTTTTTAAATTTAAGGGTTTAGGCATGCCCAGTGATGCCCAGGTGCTGGTCTTGGCTCTGCTCAGAATCATTCCTGGTGATGCTTGGGGGACCGTGAGATGTCAGGGATCGAACCGAGACCCAGGTTTCCTGCATACAAATCTTGCACCCAGGGGCCAGAGTGATAGTACAGCAAGTAGGGCGTTTGCCTTGCACATGATCAACCTGGATTCAGTCTCAGACCCCCCATATTATGATCCTCCAAGCCCTGCAAGGAAGAAGTGATTCCTGAGTGCAGAGCCAGACATAAGACTAATGCACCACTCGGTTTGGCCAAACTCCCCGCACCCCCCAAAATAGCAACATGCACCCAGCTTACTGAGCAGTCTCTCTATTTAAAAATGAAGAGCAGTTACACATTTAAAAATGAAAGGGAAAAAACATACTTATTTATACATAAGTAAATTCTGGTCCCAGAGTGATGGTACTTGGGTAGGGTACTTGCCTTGCGTGCATCCAACCCTGGTTCAGGGCGGTAGGGCACTTCAGTGCCCAGTACCACTTATGATCCCCACCAGCAATACACCCTGAGCGTAGAAAAACGTGGCCCAAAACCCAAAAAATAAATCAGTAGTAGGGCCAGGGATGTAGATGAGTGCTACAATAAATTCCTTTCGTTTGAAACCCTAGGATGGGAACCCAATCAATACCTAAGTTTAAAAAGAAATGGAACACTCTAGGGTTTTTACTCTAGGACATTGTTTAAATAGATGAAATTCTCAATTTATATCAACATGGCAGTTTACTTTGGGGAGAGAAGTGAATGGATTTTTTTTTTTTTAAATCTTTTCTCTAAGGCCAGGGCGATAAGGACATAAGGTACTTGCCTTGCTTGTAGCCAACTCTGGTCAAGCCCCAGCACCAGGTATGTTTCCCTGAGCACCTCAAAGAGTGGCCCAAAAGCCCCGCAAAAAAAAAAAAAAGGGTTTGATCCCCAACATCCCGTATGGTCCCCTGAGCACCACCACCAGGACTAATTCCTGCATGCGGAGCTAGGAATCACTCTTGAGCATTGCCTGGTGTGACCCAAAAAGCCCAAAAAGGAAGAAAAGAAATAAAAAATCTGTATAAAAAAAAAACTTGGGGTTTGTGTTTTGTTTGGGGGCTATACCCGGCAGTGTGGTGCTCCAGGCTTACTCCTGGCTCTGTAGTCAGGAATCACTCCTGGCAGTGCTCAGGAGGCTACATGGGCTGCCTGGGATCAAATCCTGGCCAGCCGGCTGCATGCAAGTCAGATACCCTACTCGCTGTATTAACTTCAACCCAAAAAGAGAGAGTTTTGTTTTTTTTTTTTTTTAAGAAAATTTGGGTGTAGGGGGCCAGAGCAATAGCATACTGGGTAGGGCACTCACTTTTCACATGTCTGACCCAAGTTCGAGCTTCAGCACCCCATATGGTCTCTGAGTATGACCTCATCACTCTAGGAAGGACCCCCTCAAAAAAAAAAACCAGAAAGAGAGGAAGTGAGAACTGTAGCTGCAGTAATTTTGCTTTTAAAAAATCCTCCTGAACATATTGTCAAGGTGTTTTGTTCTGCTCAGTTATGAGTGCTTTGTAATAAGTAGAAGTTGTAAGGCACAGGGGCCAGAGCAGTAGCTCAGCGGGTAGGGTGTTTGCCTTGCATGCAGCCGGCCTGGGTTTGATCCCCGGCATCCAGTGTGGTCCCCCGAATACCACCAGGAATAATTCCTGAGTGCAGAGTCAGGAGCAACCCCTGAGCAAAAAAGCAAAAGGTGTGACCCAAAAAGCAAAAGCAAAAACAAAATTTTGTACCAAAGTTTCTTTAACCAATCATCTGTTCTCGGACACTTGGGTTTTTTCCAGATTTTGGCTATTGTGAATAGTGCAGCAATGAACACAGAAGTGCAGATGTCATTTTGACTGTACTTTTTTGCCTCGCTGGCATATATTCCCAGTAGTGGTATCACTGGGTCAAGTGGGAGCTCAATTTCTATTATTTTGAGAATCGTCCATACTGTTTTCCAAAAGGGCTGAACCAGTCGGCATTCCCATCAGCAATGAAGGAGGGTCCCTTTCTCACCACATCCGCGCCAGCACCGGTTCCTTTTGTTCTTGTGGATGTGGGCCAGTCTCTGTGGTATGAGATGATATCCCATTGTTGTTTTGATCTGCATCTCCCTGATGAAGATGAAGTCATGAAATTTGCATGCAAGTGGTACTACATGGAAAGTATCATGCTAAGTGAAATGAGTCAGAAAGAGGGGGACAGACATAGATTGCATTCATCTGGAGAATATAAAGTAACAAACTGGGAGACTAACACCCAAGAATAGCTGAGATAAGTACCAGGAGGTTTACTCCATGGCTCGGAGGCTAGCCGCACAAACTGAGGGAGAAGGCAGCTCAGATAGAGGGGAGCACCAAGTAAAGGGTGTTGGGTGGCCCCTTCCAGGATGAGAGATGCATGCTGAAAATAGACTGTAGACCAAACACAATTGCCACTCAATGCCTCTTTTGCAAACCACAGCACCCAAAAGAAGAGCGAGAACAAAAGGGAATGCTCTGCCACGGGGTGGGGTGGGATGAGGAGGTGGGGGGTGAGAGGGATGCTGGGACCATTGGGTGTGGGGAATGGGCACCGGTGGAGAGATGGGTACTCAATCACTGTATAACTGAAACCCAAGCACAAAAATTTGTAAGTCTACAACTGTACCTCATGGTGTTTCACTAATAAAAATTAAAAAAAAAAAATTTGTAAGGCACGATCACTTTAACCCACGGACCACGGCCCACCTTCCGGTCTGCTCTGTCGCAGCATGGAGACCGACTGTGACCACCTGGAGCTGGGCGGCATGTCCGGCTTTGAAGAGGGCGCCGAGCTGAACGGTTTCGAAGGGACCGACGTGAAGGACATGAGGCTCGAGGCCGAGGCGGTAGTGAACGACGTCCTCTTCGCCGTCAACAACATGTTCGTCTCCAAGACCCTGCGCTGTGCCGACGAGGTGGCCTACATCAACGTGGAGACCCGGGAGCGGAACAGATACTGCCTGGAGCTCACGGAGGCCGGGCTGCGGGTGAGTCATCGCCAGAGCGCTGGGACGGGCCTCGACAGGGAGGTGGGAAAGGGTGTCTGAGAAGTAGCTTTCGAGACTATTCTTAAAAAAAAACCCGACTTATTCAAGGGTCTTGATTTTTTTTCTCTTTTTTGCGGGGGGTCCAGGGGAGTCTTAAGACCTTACACCTGGCTCTGCACTCAGGGATCACTCCTGGCAGGACTTGGGACCATATGGGGTGCTGGGGATTGAACTTGGGTCTGCTTGCGTGCAGGGCCAACCCTCTACCCCCTGTGCTGTTGCTCCGGCCCCAGTGTTACTTGGTTTTAGTCATTCCCACATGACCCTAGCTGGCTTACACGTAGATGTGGTTTCACACAAATGACCCCAGATTTGTGTGATACCTCGAGTTATCGTAGGGTCATAGTGCTCAAAGGGTCCCCCAAGCCCCAATCAGGAGTGCTGTGCTATTGCTCCAGCCCCCTTGCAATTCTTTTAAAATGAAGATGAGGTAAATCAAAGCTTCTTGTGATTCAGGTGTGGGTTTTTTGAGTGGGGCGGGTGAGCTTGTGCCAGGGGTTACTCCTGGTTCTGCACTCAGGAATCGCTCCCAGCGGTCTCGGGGGACCATGTGGGATGCTGGGGATCGACCCTGGGTTGGCTGCGTGCAAGGCAAATATCCTACCTACTCTGCAATCTCTTCAGCCCCCAAACTTGAGTTTTAAGGAGAGCACTAGACACAATTTACTGTATTACAAATTGCCTCTATGTGATAAAAATGCTTCAGGAGAGTAAAGATGTGTTGAAGTGTGGAAATAGTATCGATGTCTTTCCAGAACATCCCCCGCCAAGCACTTGGGCTTCCTGTCACTGTGACTTTTCTCTCATAGGTGGTAGGTTACGCTTTTGACCACGTGGACGATCACGTCCAGACTCCCTACCACGAGACCGTTTACTCCCTGCTGGATACGCTCAGCCCTGCCTACCGGGAAGCATTTGGAAACGCGCTTCTTCAAAGACTGGAAGCTTTACAAAGGAATGAACAGTCCTGACCAAGCTCTTCCGTTTAGAGGGGACGGCGGCTGGTACAAAATATTGACGTAAGGCTTGAAGTTTTCACCGGTGGCCAGTTTTGCATCGGTCATGACGTAAAGTGCATCTTTAGTTTGTGTTTCGATCATTTCTTCAGATGTCAGCTTTTGACTCCGAATGTGATTGACTAATGAGTTGTCGTTTTAGTTTCTCATTCATTAAGGCATTGCTAGGACGCCATCCTTTGGACTCTCGAATTTCTTTATATAATGTCTGTCCATCTCAAAACCTGACCAGTATTTCATTCTATTACAGGGCTTCAATGCTGCCAGCACATTCTCTTAATTGAGGAAAATCTAGATTTGCACAGTAATTCAGAAGTTGAAATGACCTAATTTCACACGTGGATTCAGTTTGCTAAATCAGGGGGTTTACTACTAGCTTGAGCTGACTTTGTAGTAATTACTGTACTACTGGCCTTATTGGAAACAAATTATCAACTAGTTTCCCCTGCACAAATTTGAAATTCACTGCTTCTCTTAATCTAGTTACTAATATGGACTGATACACGTGAATAATTACATATGACTTAGTATTAAATGAAAAGCAGGTACTGATTCCTTGTTTGCTACAGCCAGCCAACTAAGAAGACAAACCGCTAGCAAATGAATGTAATAATTTTTCCAATATATTTAAGCACATGAGCAAATGTAGGAACAGGCTTCGTTCTTTTTTCTTAACAAAAAAAGCATCTTCAATACGTATGATTGAAAATGAAGACGATTCTGATTTCCTAGAAAACACTATTTTGGCCTGTGTTGATTCTTATCCTGAATGTTTGTTTACATATGTACAGTATATATTCAGAAGGTATTTTTGCTTCAACATTTACTCTCTAGGATGTAGTACTTTGGTATTCCCATAACACCTCTCCTCCCCGACAGATGTGCAGTGTTCTGTCTCAATGCTAAGTCTACAATGTCATATGAGTGCATTGTATGGGTCTGAAACCAAAGGATGAATGAAGCATTCAGACACTTGATATTTGAAAAAGGAAGACTGTGTATTTTGTATTTTCTTACAGGTATTAAAATTTATAAACTTAATAAACTATACCATGCTGCTACGTGTTTTCAAGTACATATTGAGTAAGGGGGTCTTGGGGGGGTTGCGTTTTTCATAGTCTTCTAAAGCAGCAGCTGTAGAAACCTTGAGCTAAATTCCTGCCTCTTCATAAAGGACACATTTTCATACGTTGGTCATTTGCAGACCTTTTTTTCTTTTTAAAAATTTCACTGTTAGTAGTAGCTACTTTTTGGGTTGAAGATCATGTAGATCAGAACAAACTAATGTTCCGTTTCGGTCCCTGTTTATGAAGTACAAGTGCTTCACAGGAATGCTTTCATCGTTGATAGATGCATATTCATTTTCGGCTTTTCAGATGCTTAACTCTTGGGCAGTGAAGTCATAACTTCAGGTTGAACTTTCTCACAATCTCAGGCTAACTGTAAAGAATATTTGTAAAGTTTGAATAAAACTGTTCACTCATTTTGAGTTGCAAAGATAAATGATTGTATGTTGAATAATTGAAATTGTTGATTTTGTGATAAATGATTGACTCCAAGAGCTTCAGTTTCCAGTTTTGAATTCCAGATTGTGACACTTCGATATTAGGTGAGTTGTTCGATTTATTACTGGGGAAGAGGAACAGAGAAGAAAATAGTAAAATATTACAACCTTTGTTCTGAACTGTGGATATGACTCAAGTGGTCGAGTATATGCCTTGCATGTGCAAGGCCCTTGGTTTGATCTGGGCGCTGGTTCCCATCCCCCCTACTGCCAGGTATGTGCCCTACAACTTAGAAAGAAAAAAATAGCGATCATAAGAATAAAACCTCCGGAACTGGAGCAGTAGCACAGCGGGTAGGGTGTTTGCCTTGCACGCGGCCAACCCAGGTTCGATTCCCAGCATCCCATATGATCCCCCAAGCACCGCCAGGAGTAATTCCTGAGTGTATGAGCCAGGAGTAACCCCTGAGCATCGCCAGGTATGACCCAAAAAGGAAAAAAAAAAGGAAAGAAGAAAGCCTACTAGGGCTGGAGCAACAATACAGTGGGTAGGAATCCGGGGGGGGGGGGGGGGGGGTGGTGTTTGTTTTGTTCTTTTTGCTTTTTGGGTTACACCTGGCGATGCACAGGGATTACTCCTGACTCTGCACTCAGGAGTTATTTCTGGTGGTGCTCAGGGGACCATATGGGATCCTGGGAATCAAACCCGGGTCGGCTGCGCGCAAGGCAAACACCCTACCCACTTGATCCCTGACATCCCATATGGTCCCCCGAGCTTACTAGGAGTAATTCCTGAGTGCAAAACCAGCAGTAAGCTCTGAACACCACCAGGTGTAACAAAAAAAAGAATAAAAATAAAACCTCCAGATTCTAGATAGATAGTACAGGTAGGGCACATGCCTTCACGTGGCTTACCCAGGTTTGATCACCAGCACCCCCATAGGGTCCCCTGAACTCTTCTAGGAGTGATTCCAGAGCACAGAGTCAGGAGTAAGCCCTGAGCACCACCAGGTGTGGCCCAAAATTCAAAAAAAAAAATACAGTCCTCGTGGTGTGTTTATTGAATATGCCAGAAACAGTAACAGCAAGTCTCACAATGAGACGTTACTGGTGCCCACTCGAGCAAATCGATGAACAACGGGAGGACAGTGTTACAGTTCACAATAGGGTAAAAATAATAAAATGAAATAAATTTAATATTTTAAAAAAATAAAACCTTTATTTTAATCTAGATTATTTTAAAAAATCAACTAGATACATAAAGTCTTGGTTTCGCTTCCAGAGTGGGGATGGAAACTCACTTACAGGTAAACTAACTTACAGGTCAGTTTTTCAAAATTAGAACAACGCACATAGTATGATCAAGCAACTTGACTCAGACCAGGGTTGGATAAGAAATAATGAGGAACTGCTTCAGAAATCAGCTGAGGGCTAAGAGGTGCAATGGGGGTTAAGGCACTTGCCTGCATCCTTGCAGGGGGCCCACCCTGATTTCATCCCAGGCACTCCATGGGCCCCCAGGCGCCTCATCCAGTCCCATGCTTTGTATCCAGTTTGATTGCTGGGAATAGCCCCCGAGTTCCACTGGGTATGACAAAAATAAAGATATGCAGTCCCTCCAGTAATTCCATAGCCCAAGAAAATTGCTGTGTTGAACCAGTTCATATAACACGTCAATTGATGTAAATGATGCCAGTAAGGTTTTAGTCAGGGAACACTCTTACATTCTTTTGGAGAATATATTGATGAAGCCTTTCTGGAAGGCATTGGTAATCTTTACGAAGCTCTAACCTATAGATTGGCCAGGGAGGTTGTTGGGAATTAAGGTGCTTGCTTTGCATCCTACCAACCCTGGTTCGATCCCAGCAACATATACAGACCCCTGAGCAGAGTCAAGCCCTGAGCAATGCCAGGTGTGGCTCAAAACTCTTCCCCCATTCCTCAAATAACTTCAATATTGGTAATAACTCAAGCAATCTAAGATTCAGCCGGAGATAATATGAAAATTTGTTTAATGAAAAAGTGGGCTCTGAAAGAGTAGTTCAGTTTTGGTAGAGAGGTATACAGCTTGGATGAGCCTTATCCAGAAGTTAATTTGTTGAAAAACTCAGATATGCAGGTTTTGTGACTGAAATCTCCAGCTTTCATAGGGTCAGGGATGGGCTGTCTCCCCCAAATCTCGATAATTTGAAAGCCCGGCAGTCATGCACGCGCCCCAAAGCCACCAGTTAGGAATCATTTGGAGGGCCGTAGCAACAGTACAGTGGGTAGAGTTCTTGTCTTACAGGTGGCTGAACTGGGGTTCAATCCCTGGCACTCCATATGGTCCCCTGAGCACCTTCATGAGCAATCCCTGAGCTCAGAGCCAGGGTTAAACCCTGAACACCACCAGGTGTGGCTCAGAAACCATGTGGAGAGCTAGCAATGACGGGTGGAGGGGGGGGGGGGAGTTGACAATATATAGGGTTTTAAAAAGAATAACTTCAGGCCCGGAGTGATAGTACAGCTGGTAGGATGTTTGCCTTGGACGTGGCTGACCTGGGTTCAATCCCTGGCATCCCATATGGTCCCCCAAGCACTGCCAGGAGTAATTCCTGAGTGCAGAGCCAGTAGTAACCTCTGAGCATCGCTGGGTTCACGTGACACAAGCCAAAATAAATTTGGTAGGGTTTGGAGGACCATATGGAATGCTGGGGATCAAACCAAGTTGATTGCATGCAAGACAAGCACCCTACCTGCTGAACTATCACTCCAGCTCCTCAACCCTTTTTTTTTTTTTTTTTGCGTTTTTTTGTTTGTTTTGTTGTTTCATTTTCTGACTGACACTGGGACTTGCTCAGTAGTTTCACCTTGTGAACCCAGTTATTTTTCTATTAGCTCTTTATTTGGCGGGGGGAGTCACACCTGGCGATGCACAGGGGTTGCTCCTGGCTCTTTACTCCTGGTGGTACTCAGGGGACCATATGGGATGCTGGGAATTGAACCCAGGTCGGTCGCGTGCAAGGCAAACGCCCTCCCCGCTGTGCTATCGCTTTAGACCCCATCTCTTTAATATATGGTGTTCAAACCTAGGGCTGGAGCGATAGCACAGCGGGGAGGGCGTTTGCCTTGCACGCGGCCAACCCAGTCGACCCGAGTTCGATTCCTCCGCCCCTCTTGGAGAACCCGGCAAGCTACCGAGAGTATCTCGCCCGCATGGCAAAGCCTGGCAAGCTACCCGTGATGTATTTGATATGCCAAACACAGTAACAGTTCAAAACTATCGCCCACATGATGTGAAAACTGATTTTGAAAGAGGAAAGAGGGGCTGGAGCGATAGCACAGCAGGTAGGGCGTTTGCCTTGCACGCAGCTGACCCGAGTTCGATTCCCAGCATCCCATATGGTCCCCTGAGCACCACCAGGGGTGGTTCCTGAGTGCAGAGCCAGGAGCAACCCCTGTGCATCGCTGGGTGTGACCCAAAAAGAAAAAAAGGAAAGAAATAGGGCTGGAATAGTGGGGTGAGGCATTGTACCACCTGAGCATCTCTGGGTGTGACCCAAAAAGCCAAAGAAGACAAAAGAAATAGCATAGTCAAAGGTGTGCTAGGGGTTGAATGCAGGAAGAACTGACAGGAATAAATTCTTTGCATGCAGGAGGCCTGGATACTATCCTCAACACCACATACGGTCCCCCCCAAGCACTGTCAGAAGTGACCCAAGCACAGAGTCCAGAATAGTCCCTGAGTGCTGCTGGCTGTGGCCCCAAAACAACTCCCAAAAGATGCGTTAGTTGATAAAAATTAATTGCACCTTTTTATAACCTATCAATGATGTAATAGGAACCTGCATAACAGCATAACAGTAATGAATGTGGAATGATGTATGCTGAAATATGGAAATGAGGAATAATAAAGTCATTTGGAAATGGCTGCGGCACATTTACTACAAATTTGGCGCTGCTGTTGCATAAATCCTTGTACATTTCAGGAGACAGCACTGTGCTGTTAATAATAGGGATTTGGACACATTCATCCAAATGACAAAGTGCTGGTTATTTGACCAAAACACCAAGTTAGGTTGTTGTTGTTTTTCCATTGTAATGGGGGCCATCGGGACCACATTTAGAGGTGCTGAGGATCAAACCCAGGGCCTCTCACAGGCTAGGCATGCATTCAACCACCTGAGTCACGTCCTTGTTAACAGTTTTTAATTATTTTGACTTGGGGCCACACTTGGCTGTGCTAGAGGCACCTCCTGGCAGCGGCGTTTGGGGAACCATGCAGTGCCAAAGATGGAACCCAGGGCTCCAAAGCATGCACTCTTACACCCTTATGCTCTCTGGCCCAAAACTTTAATGAAATGTATTTAAAAAGGGAGGGGGGGAGTTTAAAAGTAGATGCGGGGCGGGGGGGGGGGACCCTAGGACGAAGGTGGCGGGTGTGGTGTGGAAATGATTTTGTCTCTGGTGCCACTCGTATTTATGCACAGTCAGTACCGGTGGGAGGGACGGTGCTGGGTGTCTTAAATACTTATGTTTAAACAGACCAGCGTTTAAAACCTCTAAATATTTCACTGGGATATTCCCAGATACGAAGTTTCCATACTTCACTACTGGTCCTATCTTTTTATGTGTCCACTAATCTGACATGGACATGTATAATCGCCTTTGGGAAGGTCAAGCAGCTGGATCCAGCACTTCATGAATGTGGGTGAATCTGGCACAAGCCTCCAGCCACGCGGCCGCATCCCCCGCAGTCTTTCCAGAAACTGCCAAAGACAACTTGATTTCTAAGTCTGGCTGGGACACACACGCTGTCCTTCCGGCGTCCTCGACCTGAGGTTCCATGGCAACAGTTCTGCTTTGCTGCAAATTTGTATCAAGTCCCCCAGATCGGATCATCGCGCAGGGAACATACTCTTCCTGCGTCGCCAGGGATGTGGGCATCACTTTTTCATCGTCTTCCCTAATGTTTTTAATCCTCCCAGTCCATTTCAATGTGTTGGCGGAGTTTCCGGGTGAAAGGGAGCTGAGACCCTGTGGCAGTCGCGTACCAGGGCTGGGTGGGACCCTGGGGCACCGAGTAGAGCCAGAAATACCCCGCAGAGCACTTCCAGCACCTGCCCCAACCCGAGAACGCCAGCTCTGCGCACCAAGCGGTACCCATCACCTGGAACGCCCCGCCCACGCGGCCGGCCCCGCCCATTCTCTGGACCGCCACGCCCCACGCAGCTGGCCCCGCCCATTCTCTGGGAACGCCACGCCCTCCGCTCCAGGCCACGCCCGTTTCCCGGGATAGCCACGCCCACCCCCGGAACACCACGCCCTCCGCGCCAGCCAGACCCCTCCCTTGCAGGTTGCCCGCTGAGTCCTGCCGGTTGGCGCCGGGTTCCCACCTCCTTAGCAACCAGGGACGCTTTCTCCTTAGCAAGCAGAGCAGTTCCCACAATGTTTGACGACGAGGAAGTTACCGTTACGCAGGAGAAAATTACACGGAGTCAGCGGGTGTTTATAAACCTGCTGGACTCATTCAGCAGCCGAAATATCGGGAAGGTGAGTCCCGGGGTGGGGGTGGGGGTGGTCAGAGCAGAACCCAAGTCTCCACTTCTCAGGCTGGTCCCCAAAACACCTAGCCCAGTGAGGGCCTTTGCCGTGGGGCGCTCGCTGGACCTCCCGTAGGGTACCACCAGAGTCACTGGGACCCATCTGCACCCAGGTAAGACAAGCGTGCTTGAAGGTGGACAGCCGAACCTTGAGTATAAACCAGAAACAGGCCCGGAAGGAAGGAGGGTCCTGCCCAGGGTCACTTGGAAGGAGAGCCCAGGTCTTCTCACTCTCCTCCCGCTGCCCCCCGCAGGCCACTGGCCACCAAGTTCCATGGTTACACCTCCCACGGTGCACTGGGCATTCGTTCATCCCTTCCACGGTTGGACTTGATGTCTGGGATCTGCCAGGCTCTGGTTGGGGCCCTTGTCCAACCCACTCTGCCTCTCACCCGGGAAAATGAAGCTTTTCAAGAGGAAAGACTCCGGGCCCGTCCCTTAAAATGCTCGGTCATCACTGAGGGTCCCAGCGTGGTATTGTTTCCCTGAGTCTCATCCACTGGTCTTCACTCTTCCCCGGGAGCTGAAAGCGGAGCTGACCCTTACACCGGGCAGAACTCTGTGAGGCTGGGCTAACACATACTCTGGGGGCGAGAGCAGAGCTACAGCACACCCTCACCTTCTGTTTTGGTTTCCTGACGACCCTCCTGTTATTCGTCGATTGCCTCGAGCAGGCCCCAGTAATGTCTCCTTCGTCCTAGCCCTGAGATTTTAAAAAGTGCCATATTCAAGGCTCTTTCAGGGTTAGGAGAATGAGACCCATCATTGTTACTGGTATTTGGCATATTGGGTATGCCACAGGGAGTTTGCCAGTCTCTGCCGTGTGGGCAGGTTACATTCAGTAGCCTGCCAGGTTGTCCAAAGTAAGAATGGGATAATAAGATGTCACACTGCCACAAATGCAGCCGTGCGCTTCCGGGAGCTGGGTTTGATAGTCTCTGGGTCTTATGGCCTCTCGGCCTTTTGGCTAAGATCAAGTGTAGTGTGGTTTCCTGGTAATCCCCACAAACCAGGTGACTGAACCCCACAGAATGCATCCTAGCATTGTTCTAGAAGTCAGGAGGCCAAAATCAGGTGCCAGTGGGGTTAATTCCGTGCAGAGGCTGCAGAGGGTGGATCTGCTTCATGATTTGGGGGTTGCTGGTATTCCTGACTCCAAAGACTCACCACCCCACCTTGGCCTCCATCTTCAACTACCTGGCTTGTCCCCTAGGGTAGCAGTCTCCAAATGTCCTCCTTCTTATAGGGGTGCCTGCCAGTTATTGGACTAGCATGTTCCCCACCCCCCCCATCCTGACATGTGCAAAGACCCTGTTTCCAAACAAGTCATGGTCTGAGGTTCCAGGGAAACGGGATGATCCGTGGGGGGAGGGGCACACGGGTCAATCCAGGACGCCAGCAACCACTGCACTGTAGCACTGTCCTCCCATTATCCATCGATTTGCTCGAGCGGGCACCAGTAACGTCTTCATTGTGAGGCTTATTATTGGTTTTGACATATTGAATACGTCCCAGGTAGCTTGCCGGGCTTTGACGTATGGGCGGAATACTCTCAGTAGCTTGCCGGGCTCTCCGAGAGGGGCGGAGGAACCGAAGAAACCTGGGTCGGCTGCATGCAAAGCAAACGCCCTACTCAGTGTGCCACTGCCCCGGCTCAGCTACGATTGATCCACTGAAAATGAGAGATTTGGACGCAGAGAGCAGCATGTGTAAAGGGCTGGTGGCAGGCCCTGCAGAGGGGAGGCCTGGGCTCCCTCCCCAGCACCGCGAGCTCCCTCTGCTCTGCCATGAGTGAGCATGGCACAGGGAATAACCTCAGAAAACCTTGGGGTGTTGGGGCTGGAGCGATAGTGCAGCGGGTAGGGTGTTTGCCTTGCACGCAGTCGACCTGGGTTCGATCCCCAGCATTCCATACAGTCCCCCGAGCGCCGCCAGGAGTAATTCCTGAGTGCAGAGCCAGGAGTAACCTCTGTGCACCACCAGGTGTGACCCAAAAAGCAAAATTAATTAATTAATTAATTAATAAAAAACCACCAGGTGTGAAACCCTCCAAAAAAAGTGATATTTCTTTCAATATATATTTTTATCTCTAAATATATATATAATATAATATAATATAATATATATATGGGCTGGAGTGATAGCACATTCGGTAGGGCGTTTGCCTTTCACATAGCTAACCCGAGTTCAATTCTTCCGTCCCTCTCAGAGAGCCCGGCAAGCTACCGAGAGTATCCCGCCCGCACAGCAGAGCCTTGCAAGCTCCCCGTGGCGTATTTGATATGCCAAAAACTGTAACAACAAGTCTCACAATGGAGACATTACTGGTGCCTGCTCGAGCAAATTGATGAACAATGGGAGGACAGTGCTACAGTGTGTATATATATATATATATATATATATATATATATAAAGTTTACAGCCTATCTATCATTTTATGTATGAATATGTAGGATAGTATGTGTGGGACTGGAGCAATAGCACAGCGGGGAGGGCGTTTGCCTTGCACGCGACCCATCCGGGTTTGATTCCCAGCATCCCATATGGTCCCCTGAGCACCGCCAGAAGTGATTCCTGAGTGCAAAGCCAGGAGTAACCCCTGTGCATCGTCAAGTGTGATGCAAAAAGAAAAAAAAAACCAAATAGGATAGTATGTGTAAAATATATCTACTAGAAGCAAACAAAATCCATCCATTTTACTCGAGACAGAGGAAGGGGTGGGGAAGGACAAAACCCAGCTGGAATCAGAGCGGGATCGCGGGTCAGCACTTCCTCCTCTGGAAAGTGTGGGATCCCTCCCTCACGCCCTGGTGTTGCTGTGGTGTGGCTGGGGTGTGTAGCAGGTGTGAGGGAGACCCACACACTCACCAGCCGGCTGGTACCTGGGGTGCTTCTGTCTCTCCACAGTTCCTATCGAACTGTGTGATCGGGGCTTCACTGGAGGAGATCACCGAGGAGGAAGAGGAGGAAGATGAGAGCAAGTCGGGCATGTTGGAGCCCGGGACCGTCAAGCAGAAGGAAGGAACCTTCCAGGTGGTGGGCACGATCTCCCAGCAGGACCCCGCGCACCTGGAGTTTGCCACAGAGACCTACTATGTAAGTCCAGGCAGCAGGGTGTTGGGGGGTGCAGACTCCCACCCAGCCCCCTCCCATGCTCTTCCTCCTGACTTCTTCCCTGTCCCCAAGCATGCGCACATGTGTATGTGGGGTGGGGGGGCACCTGTCTTTCTCTTGCAGCGGGAATTAACTTGATGCTGTCTAGAAAGGGGGCAGATTTGTTCCATCCCGAAGCTTCTGAAGCTTCGCGGAATCACTCACCAGCCCTTCTGCAGGACTAGAGCAAGACCCATAATTGCTCCAATTACCATGCAGGGAGTTTGGAGTTAGTTTCAACCGCTCCACACAGTTCCCTCCACTGTGTTCTGTGTCTACCCTGCAGACAGGCTGAAATGGCTTGCTGAAGATTGTGTGGTCTGGCTAGAGAGATTGTAGCACTGTAGCCCTGTCCTCCTGTTGTTCATCGATTTGCTCGAGCGGGCCCAGTAACGTCTCCATTGTGAGACTTGTTGTTAACTGTGTTTTGGCATATTGAATACATCACAGGTAGCTTGCCAGGCTTTGCCATGCAGGCGAGATACTCTCCGTAACTTCCCAGGCTCTCGGGGGGCGGGGGGGATGGGGGGCAGAGGAATTGAACCCAGGCCGGCTGCGTAAGGCAAACGCCCTACCTCTGTACTATCGCTCCAGCCCTTTGCTGAAGATTATCACGCGATTTTTCAATCCTCTATTTCTGGGTGTGTCTCTTAAGTTTCTTAGTTCCTCGAAGACTAACACACTAAAGAGAACCAATTGAAGTTTTGCTTCACGTTCTTCCTGAGGTAAATGGAAAATGTCAGTAATCCACCTAAACGGAGCACTGTTATAACGCTTCTCACAACAAATGAGTCTCAACTTTCTTTCTTTTTTCAGTTTTATTTTCGTAAAGTTGTTCAACACCAATCCCACCACCATTACACCTTCCCACCACCATTATTTTGAATGTTCCCACCGCCACTCAAGCCTGCCCCACAGGCAGATGCTACGTAATTTATTTTGCGTTGCTTGTTATGAACAGTATGAGATGTAAGTGGCCGCTTTTGTGGCCGCGCGCTCCTGGAATTCTAAAATCTTAAATAACTGGGGTCCAGGGGTGTGTATTCAAATATTAATTCGAGACTGCAGTGCTCTCTGGCTGCCTGCATTCAGTGTTCTCAGGTCGCTTCCGTCACCGGAGTCAGCTGATAGCAATGGGTGGATGAAGGAGGAAACGAGAGCCAGGCTGATTGGTGATCAGTTGGCAGTTTATTCCAATCTTGTCTCCCTCTGCCTCCTTCCTGTCTCGCCCACTCCTGTATTCCTCCTCCCCTGTGCTTCCTCTTTATTCCTCCTCTATACCCCTGCCCACCCTTAGAGTCTTATATCCCCAAATCATGAGGGGTTGGGGTAGCTATTACACATAGGTGTGTTTCCCTCAGGGGAAGCTTCTTCTAAGACAAATTCTCATCCAGCAAAATGACCCACCTAAGGGCAAAATACCAACTAGGGGTACGTTTCTCCTTTCCTTAATCACTGTCACTGTCGTCCAGTTGCTCATCGATTTGCTCGAGCGGGCCCAGTAACATCTCCATTGTGAGACTTGTTGTTACTGTGTTTGGCATATCGAATATGTCATGGGGAGCTTGCCAGACTTTGCCGTGCAGGCAAGATAGTCTCGGTAACTTGCCGGGCTCTTTGAGAGGGACGAAGGAATTGAACCCAGATTGGCCAGGTCAGCCACGTGCAAGGCAAACGCCCTACCACTGTGCTATCGCTCCAGTCCATCCTCTCTTAGTCCAACAACCATTTAAACACTAATCTTAATTCTACTTCTTATTAAGGTTAGTCATTTTGTATGGACACAGTAAGAGATACATTAAGCTTATCAGGTGGCTCTCCTGAGGAGATAGATCTCAGACTAAAGTGCTCAGTTCAGATGAGCCCTTTCTAACCCTAAGCAGGGTCCTTGTCCGGTTGTTTCTCTTTGTATCATGACAGTATTTGTCCATGACAGTGCTCTTAACTTAGAGTTAAGTATTTGGCACTTGGTCTGGCTTGTTTCAATGCCAGGGTAGCTCAAGCTTGTCCTGGATCCATCCAGTCCCTTCGACAGGACCCTGCTCTGGGGTGCTAGGAACTAAGGGCAACTGAGGCTTAAGTCAAGAAAATACGAGAGATGCCCAGGAGTAAATATTATTCGAAGGCATTAATAACTCCCAAGTTACAAAAGCATAGCATTAACTGTTTTTCTGTGTCTATAAAAAGGACATTGCTCTAAAGAAAAATATGCAAAAAGGACTTAAGGAAAAGAGAAAAGCGATATTTCACTTACAGTTACAAATTCAGTGATTTCTGAGGAATTTGACTTTACAAGTCACAGGTGCTGCTTTGGGAATAGAGGTGATTAACCAACTGGGGAAGCAGAGCACAGAGAAGAGGTTAAAGATAAACACAGACGAATGGAGTGCCTCAGGAGCACTGTGATGGGTGTAACCCAATAAACCTAAGCTCCCTGTGGCCAGGGAGAAAGGACGAACCAATGTTATCCTATAGGAGGCATCTCTGTGCTGTGCTGCAGACTCATTTGTGAGTCTCTCTTGTCTCAACTTTCTTATTCTTTTCTTTCTTTCTTTCTTTCTTTCTTTCTTTCTTTCTTTCTTTCTTTCTTTCTTGTTGCTGTTGTTATTGTTGTTGTTTGTTGTTTTGGGGCCACAATGCTCAGAGTTTACTCCTGGCTTTGCGCTCAAGAATCACTCCTGGCAGTGCTCAGGGGACCACATGGGATGCCGGGGATGGAACCTGGGTTGACCGCGTGCAAGGCAAACTCCCTTCTCATTGTACTATTGCTCTGGCCCATCAATTTTCTTTTCCAGGGCATCTCTCGAGAAGACCTCCTCTTGCGGCTGATGGAGTGTGACATCATCGTGTACAACATCACGGAGAACTCCAAGCAGGTGGAGGAAGCCGTCTGGGCCATCTCTGGTCAGTGAGCTGTGCTGCTTTCTTGCAGGGACATCTACTCAATACTGGGCACATTGGGACCAGGGGAAAACTGATCTGGAACTTCTGTTTTTCCCTGTTTTGGTTTTGGGGCCATACCCAAGAGTGCCCGGGGCTCACTCCTGTCTCTGGCTGGGCTCAGGGAACTGTATGAGATGCTAGAGATCAAACCAGCAGGGCATGGGGGTGAAGGAGGCAGGGGGTGCAAGGCAAGTGCCCTCCCTACCCCATGTAGTATCTCTCCAGTCCAAGACTTCTTTTTATTTTGCTTTGTTTTTGTTTTGGGGGGGCACAGCCTATGATGTTCAATGGTTACTCCTGGCTCTGCATTCAGGAATTACTCCTGGCGGTGCTCAGGGGACCATATGGGGGGCCCAGGGATTGAGCTGCGTTGGCCACTGTACATTTCTCCAGCCCCTGAAATGTATTTTTTATTTGGTTTTTGTTTTGGAGTCACACTTGGAGATGCTTAAGGCCTACTCCTGACTCTGCTTAGGAATCACTCCTGGCCATGCTTGGAGAACCATATGGGATGTCAGGGATGGACCCGGGTGAGCCGCATGCAAGGAAGGCAAGGCCCTACCTGCTATCCTATCGCTCCTGCCCTGAAATCTCTTTAAGACATGAAATGAGGACTGGAGCGATAGCACAACGGGTAGGGCATTTGCCTTGCAAGCGGCTGACCCAGATTCAATTCCCAGCATCCCATATGGTCCCCCAAGCACCGCCAGGAGTAATTCCTGAGTGCAGAGCCAGGAGTAACCCCCGTGCATCACTGGGTATGACCAAAAAATAAAATAAAATAAAATAAATTTAAAAAGACATGAAATGAGGGCCTGAGAGAGAATAGCAGAGATCAAGTACTGGCCTTGCACACAGCTCACCCTGGTTCTGCGTATCGTTCCCAAGCACAGCCAGGCGTCACCCCCAGCACGGCTGAGTCTGGCCCCAAAAACCAAAAACAGTTCATCAGTTAAATAAAAACATGAAATGAGATGCTCCAGAGATGGGTCTGAGGACTGTGTGGTAGGTTTTGCAATCAGGAGCCTGGGATTCCACTGGAATTCCATCCCTGTCCCCTCACAACCCTCTGAGCACCCCTGGGGGTGACCCCCCAACAACTGACCTTGAGTCGTCTCCCTCTGCTCATACAAGTAGGCCCCCCAAAACAACAAATAAACCAAGTAAAATAATTGTGTGGGGGGTTTCAGAGATGGTACAACAGGTAAGGTGTTTGCAAGCAGATCGCTTGCAAGCAGCCCACTCAGGTCCTATCCCCCTCATCCCATGTGGTCCCCTGAGCATTGCCAGGAGTAATTTCTGAGTTCAGAGCCAAAAGATACCCCTGTGGTACCCCTGGGTGGGCCCCACCCCCCCAAAAAAATTGTGTGTCTGGTGTGGTGGGGGATGGGTGGGGATCATACCTGGTGGTACTTGCAGCTGTATCTTTGACTCTTTTTTGATTTTACATTGGCAGACTACTGTTTTGGGGTCACCCCTGTGGGTGCTCTGGGAATACCCCCAGGTGGTTGTTCAGGGAGCACTCCTGGAGGTGCTCAGGGGCCATGCACGGCTGGGGATGGAACCTGGGCCTCTGGCAATCTGTGCCAGTCTGTCCTGTTCTCTCTCCAGCCCTGTTTCCATGGAAACCCTACTCTTCAGAGACAGTAGCCAAGGAAGTCCCAGTGACACCAGAGAAACAAAGTACCAGAAAGGCAAGAAGCCATCTGCCAATTGGGATAAAATTGCACTTGGGGGGGATGGGGTAGCTGGAGAGCTCAGTGGTCTGGCACAGCCCTGGCAGGCAAGAGAAGAGGCGAGTTTGGTCCACAGAATAAAAATAGAAACTGGCATTAGCCTTTGAATGGGGGTCAGCGTGCTGCAGTGTCTCTGAGGTGGAATTCAGTCACCCTCCCTGGGGCTTCCTCCTGGAATCCTCCCTGGCTTCTGAGAAATCAGCATCTCTCACTTACTGAGCTATCAGGCGCCAGAGCCAGTGGCTGCCTGGGGTCCCCAGGACCGGGGGACTCGTCTGCAACTTGAGATTTGTCTTTCCCTAGAGCCCAGGCAGGTTCCATCTCAGGCCCCCCATGCCCCCTGCCCACCCAGGCACCGCTGGGAATAGTCCCTGAACGCCACCAATGTGGCCCCCCAAACCAGAAAACAATAACAGAAGCTTGCATTTGTTTGAAAGTGAACAGGCGGATCGCTTGAGACCTAGTAACAACGTTATGGGGGTCAGAGTGATGGGGGAGGGAGGAAGAAGGAGGGAGGGCTCCTGCCTTGCATGCAGCCAGAGTATGTTTGGTCCCCTGCATGGCGTCCAGTCCCCGGAGCCTCGCTGGGAGCGATCCCTGAGCACAGAGCCGGGAGTCAGCCCCAAGCGTGACCGGGTGTGGCCCAGAGACAAAAAGTGAATGAATAAAGGGATCATCCATTAACAGGGCAACCCAGTTCGAGGCCCTGGAAGGGGGCCCGGTGCCAGGAAGTAGGCCAGTCGGAAACCCCAGCGGGCCAAGAGGTAGAAGAGCACAGTGAGTTAGAAGAGCCAGCGGCTGCCTTGGGTCCCTGGGACCATCTCGTCAGCAACTTTAGATTTGTCTTTCCCTAGAACATGACACATCCAAGGGGCCGGATGATAGGACAGCGGACAGGATGTTGGCCTTGCATGTGGTTGACCCAGGTTCGATCCCCAACATCCCATAGGGTCCCCAAGCCTCTCCCCCGAGCACAGAGCCAGGAGTCAGCCGTGAGCACCACCCGGTGTGGTCCAGGAAACAAAGGAGGAAAAACAGGGAAAAGAAGCGTTTGTTGGCCATGGAACAGCAGCGTGGAGGGCCTATGAGCATCCTAGTTATTTTCCAGGACTCATGAATATGCATGAGGTGGGCGTGTGCGTCGGAGACGCTTACAAGCATGCCATGCACCACAGGTAGGGGAAATGGTAGAGATACGTCACGGGTCTGCGGAGAGGAGGTGATGAAGAGGAGGTGAGTGGGTCCGGAAGGGCTCCTCTGGGGGCCAGAGCCCTTTGTAGTACAGCGGCGAGGGCGTTTGCCTTGCATGTGGCTGACCCGGGTTCGATTCCCAGCATCCCATATGGTCCCCTGAGCACCGCCAGGAGTAACTCCTGAGTGCATGAGCCAGGAGTAAGCCCTGAGCATTGATGATCCCTCTCCCCCCCCCCAAAAAAAAGCAGAAGGGCTTCTCTGTGCAGCCTCGCTGGTGGGGAGTGGCCAGGCACCTTGTCTGTGCAAAGTGGGTTGTTTATTTTATTTTATTTTTATTTTGGCTTTGGGGCCTCACCCAGCGGTGATCACAGTTTGCTCCTGGCTCTGAGCTTGGGGTCACTCTTGGTGGGGCTTGGGGTGCCAGGGATTGAACTCAGGTCAGCCTAGTGCAAGGCAATGCACCCCACCTTTAAAAAAAATATTGGTATAGGGTCTAGAGGGATAGTACAGTGGGTAGGATGCTGGCCTCGCACACAGAAGGCCTGGGTTCGATCCCTGACATCCCATGCAGTGCTCCCAGCCTGATCAGAAACGGCCTCTGAGCACAGAATTAGGAGTAAGCCCTGAGTACTCAGGCATGCCCCAAACCCAAAAGTATAGTAGATAAATAAATTTTCATAAAATCTGCAAAGACAAATTTTTACTTTATTTTATTTATTTATTATTATTATTATGATTATTATTATTATTCCAGCTGGAGCGATAGCACAGCGGTAGGGCGTTTGCCTTACAAGTGGCCAACATGGCCGACCCGAGTTCGATTCCTCCGCCCCTCTCGGAGAGCCCGGCAAGCTACCGAGAGTATCTCGCCCGCATGGCAGAGCCTGGCAAGCTCCCCGTGAATTATTCGATATGCCAAACACAGTAACAACAAGTCTCATGATGGAGACGTTACTGGGCCCGCCCGAGCAAATCGATGATCAACGGGAGGACCGTGACCGTGATTATTATTATTATTTTTGCTTTTTGGGTCACACCCAGAGATGCTCAGGGGTTATTCCTGGCTCTGCACTCAGGAATTACTCCTGGCGGTGCTCGGGGGACCATATGGGATGCCGGGGATCGAACCCGGGTCGGCCGCCTGCAAGGCAAACGCCCTACCCGCTGTGCTATTGCTCCAGCCCCCAGAACAGATTTTTAAAAGGAAATTGAAACATGAACAGAAATTATTTTAAATATGCCATGAGTTTGAGGCATAGTATTGCTGACTTTGCAAAACCATAAAAGCCTGAGTAGCAGACTGAGAAATAAGGTGACTACCGGGGAACTGTACTTTATTTATTTATTTATTTATTTAGGGGGGGGTGTCACACCCGGTGATACATAGGGGTTACTTCTGGCTTTCCACTCAGGAATTACCACCCTTGGCAGTACTCAGGGAACCATATGGGATGCCAGAGTTCGAACCCAGGTTGGCTACATGCAAGGCAAACGCCCTCCCCACTGTGCTATCACTCCAACCCTCAGAGCTATAATTTTGAGGAAGTCTTTAGAGGAGTAGCTGGGTGGTGGGAATCAGAATTCTGAGAACAGGGGCTGGAGAGATAGTACAGCGGGTAGGGCGTTTGTCTTGCACGCGGTTGACCCGGGTTCAATTCCCAGCATCCCATATGCTCCCCTGAGCACCGCCAAGAGTAAATCCTGAGTGCAGAGCCAGGAGTAACCCCTGTGCACTGCCAGGTGTGACCCAAAAAGAAAAAAATAAAATAAAATAAAGAAAGAATTCTGAGAACAGAGGCCAGAGCCATGAGACAGCAGAGAGGGCATTTGCCTTGCACCCAGCAAGGTGATGCCAAGTTTGATCCCTCGTATTTGATATGGTCCCCTGAGCACCGCCAGGAGTAATTCCTGAGTGCAGAGCCAGGAGGAACCCCTGAGCATCGCTGGGTGTGGCCCCCAAACTGAAAACAAAGACAAAAACAAAAGTATCCTGAGAACAGTGATGGGAGCAGGGGCGATCGGGAAGCTGGGGTGAGGCCTCTGTCTTAAATTGCTCCTGAGGGGGGAATGGAGCCCCAGGAGCTGCTGGTAGCTTGCAGACCCCCAGACACGCTCCACTCGGCCCTAAGTGCTCCTCTGTCTGTCTTGAACTGCAGCTCTGAATGAGGAAATCAGTCGTTTCGAGAAGAAGAAGATGTTCATCCTACTGTCCACGGTGATGACCTGGGCACGCTCCAAACCTCTGGACATGGTAGGTAGCACCGCTTGCTTTTTTTTTGCTTTCTGGGTCACACCCAGCAATGCACAGGAGTTACTCCTGGTTCATGCACTCAGGAATCACTCCTGGCGGTGTTTGGGAGACCATATGGGATGCTGGGAATCGAACCTAGGTTGGCTGTATGCAAGGCAAACACCCTACCTGCTGGCTTTTTACACTCCTGCCTGTCCTGTGATCAGCACTCGGCAGAGTTTATGGACGAAGCCCCCCTCATTCACAGGACCCCGGGGTCTCTGTGTCTCTAAGGAAGAACAAGAAAACACTGCCGGTAAAACTAGCGGTGGTTGGTCATCACCCTTTTAGGGGTGGGGGTTCCTCCCAGGGTTTCTCCGCTAACTGGCCTGCAACTCAGTACTGGGGGCGAGGCTGGGGTGCTGAAAGGTTTCTGGGGTGCACCCACTGGTACTCCAAGGCCTTGAGTTTTTGGGTTGTATTTTTCTTTTTTTAATTTTTTTTTTTTTATTTCTTGCTTTTTGGGTCACACCCAGCGATGCACAGGGATTACTCCTGGCTCTGCGCTCAGGAATTTCCCCTGGCGGTGCTCAGGGGACCCTATGGGATGCTGGGAATCGAACCGGGTCGGCCACGTGTGCACGGCAAACCCCCTACCTGCTGTTCTATTGCTCCAGCCCCCTTGGGTTGTATTTTTGTTTTCACTTTTTTGAGGGGCGTCACACCTGGCGATGCTCAGGGTTTACTCCTGATTCTGCACTCAGGAAATACTCCTGGCGGACGAGAGGAACCATAGGGGATGCTGGGGATTGAACCCAGGTGGGCCGCGTGCAAGGCAAATGCCCTACCTGCTGTACTATCGCACTGGCATTTTGAGGGTAGTGAAAGAAGGGGTCGCAGTGGGAGTCTTGGGCTTATGCTTGCCTCACATCACACCATCCCTGATTCTGTGAGGATGAAACTAATGCTATGAAAAACTGCAGCCAACATTAAGTCTCAGTGAGGCCTCAGTTTCTGTTTCCCCAAAGCAGGATTTGCAGTTCCTGGTAAACTCCCAGTTGAGTAATGTGTCTAGATAAGCAACTGGGCAGTTGGGTCTGGCCGGTCATGAGGGGTCACTGTACCCTCCTTAGAAATTGTTGCTAACCATTGCCTAATTGCTGACCACCAACGTATTAGGGCCAGTGCTAAAAATAGACCAGCATATGAACTGCATCTTAACCTGAATCCTATATAAACTGCTTGTGATTTGGAGTCGGGGTCCTCGTCAAAACTCCACTGCATTGGATGAGAGGTGGCCCCTAGCTCGAGCTAGCTTTTGCATTATCATGTGTGGACTTGGTCTCTCTACGATTGGGGATCTGAAACTTGGGCTCAACAGTTCGAATCCCCACCACCTCATTTGGTCCCCTGAACACTGCCAGGGGTCACTCTTGAGCACAGAGCCAGGAAGAGCCTTTTACCACTGCCAGGTTTAGCAAAAGGAAAAAAAAAAAGTTGGGCTGGAGTGATAGTACAGTGGGTAGGGTCTTTGCCTTGTATGCAGCCAACCCTGGTTCTATCCCCAGCATCCCATATGGTCCTCTAAGCATCACCAGGAGTGATTCCTGAGTGCAGAGCTAGGAGTAACCCCTGAACATTCCCAGGTGTGAGTTCCCTATTACAAAAAAAATAGTGAAAGAACTTTTAGAGTTGTTCAATTTGGGTCACATATAATCTTTTGCATACATGGAAAGGAAAATAAAATGGTGTCCAGGGATGGCTCAGTGGGGAGCACCTGCCTTGCAGGCTCGAGGCTGAGAGTTTGGGGGTTTTGTTTGTTTGTTTGTTTGTTTTTATTTTTTGTTTTTTGTTTTGGGTCACACCCGGCAATGCACAGGGTTATTCCTGGCTCTGCACTCAGTCAGGACTTATTCCTGGTGGTGCTCGGGACCATATGGGATGCTGGGAATCGAACCCGGGTTGGCCGCATGCAAGGCAAACGCCCTACCCGCTGTGCTATCGCTCCAGCCCCGAGGCTGAGAGTTTGATTCCCCGCTCACATGTACCATGGCCAACTGCCCACCCCCATGCCCCACCCCTATGAGTACCGCAGCCGAATTGTACCAGAGCACCACAGCTAGAGAGAACAAAAAGATGGCAATGTGCCAGTGTGCTGGCTCGGGCACTGCGGCAAGGCAGGGGCAGGGAGGGAAGGGAGAGACGGAGAGTCAGAGAGCCCGAGCACGTGCTTCGGATGTGAGGATCCTGGTTTTGTCCCTGGCATGGCTGGCATGGCTCCAGAATACCCCCAGGGCGACCCCACAGCCCCGATGAGCATGACCAGGTGTAGAGAACAAAACACTGTTACGGATAGACCAAGAAGGGACCAGAGCGACGCTTGCCTTGCATGAGGCCGGCCCAGGTTGGTTTACCGGCATCTCTCTCTCTCTCTTTTTTTTTAATTTTTATTAGTGAAACACCGTGAAGTACAGTTGTAGACTTACAAATTTTTGTGCTTGGGTTTCAGTTATACAATGATCAAGTACCCATCCCTCCACCAGTGCCCATTTCCCACCACCACTGATCCCAGTATCCCTTCCACCCCCTCACCCCTCGATCCCACCCTGCCTCTGTGGCAGGGCATTCCCTTTTGTTCTCTCTCTCCTTTTGGGTGTTGTGGTTTGCAGAAGAGGCATTGAGTGGCAATCATGTTCGGTCTATAGTCAATTTTCAGCATGCATCTCCCATCTTGGGAGGATCCTCCCAACACCCCTTACTTGGTGCTCCTCTCTCTATCTGAGCTGCCTTTTCCCCTAGCATGTGTGGCTGGCCTCCAAGCCATGGAGTGAACCTCCTGGTACTTATCTCGGCTACTCTAGCATGCCAAAATAAAAGGCATACACATATATGTATTTGGTATGCAGGTATAATATAAGTAGATGTTTAGGTTTAGTTTAGAACATTTCGTTTATTGCTTCCATATAGTACAGAAAAAAAGTTCTCTCCCAAAATTTTTTGAAAAACCATCTGTGCAGTTGATACTTGTTTTTAGTTGTACTGCATTTCCTTTCATGTTCTTTTCTTGAATAAAATCAATTATTAGCTTTGGACAACCTGGCAGGCTTCCGAATGTAACCTGCCCACACGGCAGAGTCTGGCAAACTCCCCGTGGCGTACCCAATGTGCCAAATACCAGTAACAATGATAGGTCTCATTCTCCTAACCCTGAAAGAGCCTTGAATATGACACTTTTTAAAAAATCTCAGGGCTAGGACGAAGGAAACGTTACTGGTGCCTGCTCGAGGCAATCTACGAACAACAGGATGATCGTGATCATGATTCTCGGGTGTTACTCTCCCAATTTGTTACTTCATATTCCCCAGATGAATGCAATCTTTCCATGTCTGTCCCTCTCTTTCCGGCATCTCTTATGGTTCCCTGAGCACCGTCGGGAGTCATCCCCGAGTGCGGAGCCAGGAGCCAGCCCTGAGCACCACGGGAGGTGGTCACAATCAAAAACAAAAATAACCGACCCTCAAAAAATAACCGACCCTCGAAGACCAGGAAGGACTGTTCGGTAACAGCTGTTGCTGGTTCATGAGTGTTACCTCCCCTCCCCCACCCTGGTCTCAGGGGAGAGGGGTGGAAGGGATGTCAGTGGGACAGGGGACCCAGCAGGAAAGCCACCTCCAGGGCAGGATTCTTGCCCACCCTCATTTTGACTCGCACACCCAGTGGTGCTGGGTTGCTGGTGGGTCACCCACCCCCAGAATCCGCCCCCTGCCCTCATCTCAGACACTTTGTAGCTGGTCTTCACAGCCCTGGAGCTGCCTTTGGAAGCTGACAACAATGTCGCCTCCTCTTACATGGTTCTAAACAAATCCCTAATAGTCCCTGTATCCTGGAGCGGAAATTTAGTTAAGAACAAATCTTCACCATCAGCAGGTAGCACAGTGGTTAGAGCACAAGCCTAGCGTGTGTCCGGCCTGGGCTCTGTCCGGGCATCTCAGGGTGCCCCCAGCCAGCACCCCCAGAGGGCTCAGACACCCACCCATAGCACGGAATGCAAGCATCATTGCAGCCCTCAGCCCAGACACCAGTTCACCTGGTTGGCCAAGAATCACAAATAGAGCCACCTCCCGGACCTCCTGAACACAGTTTGGGGGGCTCCCCGCTCCAGCACCCAAAGGAGCAGATCTTTAGCCTTGCACCAAAGCAGTGGCAGCAGAGAAAGAAAACCATTTTCTGCTTGAATAACTTAAAACTGAAAAAGGATGCCCACTCCAGGCAGTCCTCCAGGATTGCACACAGAGGAGGCAATCAGCTCTTTGCCGAGGTGCGTGGCTTCTGCTGTGTGCGTGCATGACCCACTGGGACTAGTGAGTTCTCAGGAGGGCTCTCCCGCACCTGGTGCAGGGTCAGCTGTCACCACCTGGTGGTCGGGAGGCTCTGCTGAGAACTGAACACCAGTTTTTTGGAGGCTGCTTCCAGGGAACTGCAGTTTGGTTTCTGAGCTTACCCGAAACTGGGCCCCGCTCTCTGGGTGAGGGGTAAGCCTGAGCACACTTGGGCGGGCCCCCAAATCCAACCTCAACCTCAACCCAAAGGAAATTAGACACGAGCCCAGAAATCTGGGCCATGGGCTCGGCACGTGTGCTGTACTCAGGGCCTTTCCTGGGGTCAGAGGTTCCAGAGCGCAGGGCGTGCCCCCCACACACACAAATAACAGTCCCCCCGAGTCTTACCCCAAAGGCTTCGCCATCACTCCAGTTGCCCCAGTCTCCCTCCCCACATCTGTCCCTAGTCCACTAATTCACCAACCACAGTGTATCCCAGATGGCCGGGCGGGAAACGGGGGCATTGGTGGAGGTAGTGGGCATGGATGAAGAGATTAGCGTCTCTACACCTGAGACTCAATCATAAATATATTTGCAACCTTTTCTTTTTCCTTTTTGGGTCACACCCAGCGATGCACAGGGGTTCCTCCTGGCTCTGCACTCAGGAACTACTCCTGGCAGTGCTCAGGGGACCATATGGGATGCTGGGAATCGAACCCAGGTCGGCCGCGTGCAAGGCAAACGCCCTACCCGCTGTGCTTTTGCTCCAGCCCCTCTTTGCAACTTTTAAGTCACAGAAATGCAATATAAAGGTGGGGGGGGGGAGTAAAACTCTAAAATCCAGGGGAGAAACGTGTCTTACGGCCAGAGACACTGCAGCAAGTAAAGGGCTTGCCCAGGTTTGATCCTCAGCACTGTATATGGTCCCTGGGCCCGGCGTGATGCCTGGGGACCAGAGTGATAGCACAGGCGGGTAGGGCATTTGCCTCGCATGTAGCCCACGCAGGTTTGATCCCTGGCATCCCATACGGTCCCTCTAGCAGAAGTGATTCCTGAGTGCTGCAGAGCCAGGAGTAACCCCTGAGCATCGCCAAGTGTGGCGCAAAAAGCCAAATAAATAAATAAATAGATAAATAAATAAATAAATGGGGTGATCCCTGAACTCAGAGCCAGGAGTAAGCCTGAGCACCGCTGGGTGTGGGCCCTTCAAATGATCAAAAAGTGCATTAAATCTACTGGGTCCCTCAGTATCTGTGGATGACCACAAAGGCCCTGGGGCTGGTGCCTGAAGCCTAAGGAGTCTTGTTCTGGTACTACCAGGATGCTGTCTCATGTCCAGTGGGCAGGGCACTTGCCCAGGTTAGATGCCCATTGTCCCCCAGGCACCAAATGCCAGGTGGGGTCCCTGAGCTCAGAGCCAGGAGGAAGCCCCGTGCTCCTCCTGGTGTAGCCCCAAAACAGAAACAATATATGAAATAGAATGCCCCCCAGGGGCCAGAGAGAGAGGAGGGTGGGTGGGATGCTTGCCTTGCCCCCCCCTAGGGTCCCCCAAGTGCTCACCCAGCCATGCTGAGGGCTGACTCCTGGCTCTGTGCTCAGGGATCGCCCCTGGTGGGCTTGGGGGATCCTACTGAGCCCGGACCGGCCGCACCCAAGGCCCACACCCTCCCCGCGGTGCTGTCCCTCTGCCCCCTTGACTTGGAAGGTCTCAGGGGCTGTAACCGTTGCTGTCAGACTCCTCCCGTCTGACCGTTTTCTCTTTCCCAGGAAGATTCTGAGATCCCTTTAACCGAAGAGGATTACCGAAGGAGAAAGAACCACCCCAATTTCCAGGATCACATAAACGCTGAAAAACTGGTTCTCAAGTTCGGGAAAAACGTGAGTGCGGAGTCTTCCCCGGAAGCCTGTGTGCCCGTGAGTGCCAGGACCGCATGGGTGTTGCAGTGCTGTGGCTCCGTGTGGCCCATCCCCGGCCCTCCATGCAGTACCGGAGTCCAGGCTGCAGAGAGGGAGCAGCGGGGAGGGCACTTGCCTTGCTTCACAACCCCCCCGGGACCACCTCCGGGATGGCTCGGGGGCTGGAGAGATAGCACAGTGGGTAGGGCGTTTGCCTTGCACGCGGCCGACCCGGGTTCGATTCCCGGCATCCCGTAGGGTCCCCTGAGCACCGCCAGGAGTAATTCCTGAGTGCAGAGCCAGGAGTAAACCCCTGTGCATCGCCGGGTGTGACCCAAAAAGCAGTTAGCTGAGAATGCCTCCCAAGCGTTGTTTGGGAATCCTCCCTCCCCCAAAAAGTGGCACAGTGCCCGGGGGGGTGGGGTCCCAGCCCAGGCTCCAGCCTACTGCTGCACAGTGAAGGGGCAAAAGAGGCCACATGGAGAACGGGACGGCGAGGAGGACACCGCTCCCAGCCCGCTGTACTGAGTTTCACTAAGAAAGGACATGGGGCTCAGCTCACAGACAAGGAAATTTCCAGGGGTCGGGGCCACGCCACCCCAACTCCGGGGTCTGCAGGGCCATCTCAGCACTGCTGGGACTCAGTGGTAGGTAGGGCCGGAGCGATAGGACAGCAGGGAGGACACTGACCTTGCACGCAGCTGACCCAGGTTCAATCCCCGGCTCCCCATTAGTCTCCTAGAACCCCACCAGGAGTGATGCCCGAGCACAGAGCCAGGAGTCAGCCTTGAGCACTGTTGCGTGTGGCCCTTCCCCCTCCCTGAATTAAGATTCAGCTGTAACTGAGTCGCCCACATCACTACACTAGTGGAGCAGGCGCGGCTTCCTGGCATCTGTTGTGGAAGCTACACCCTTTGGACGCGCCTCTTATACAGTTCTTGCATCTCCCAGCTTCTATCAAAATAGAAGAAGCGAGCACCTGGTGACGAGTTCGTGTGACTAGTATTGAGGACTTGCTGTCCCTTGCCCGGCATGAGGCAAATGTTTCATTTGTGGCTGGATTCTCCAGAATCCCGCATATCATCCTCCAGTTTCCTCCAGGTGGGAATTAGCACCTTTAGTCATTTGACTGGGCTGGAGCGATAGCACAGCGGTAGGGCGTTTGCCTTGCGCGCAGCCGGCCCGGCCAAGCTGGGTTCGATTCCTCCGCCCCTCTCAGAGAGCCCGGCAAGCTACCGAGAGTATCTCGCCCGCCCGGCAAAGCCTGGCAAGTTCCCCGTGACGTATTCGATATGCCAAACACAGTGACAACAAGTCTCATGATGGAGACGTTACTGGGCCCGCCCGAGCAAATCGATGAACAACAGGAGGACAGTGACAGTACAGTCATTTGATTTGGCGGCGGCTATGGAACATGTGCACTAGGGTGACACCTAGTGGTCCTAGAGCATATTGCAACAGGAACTTGGGAAGTCCCCAAGTTCCATCCTACCGTTAAAAAAGAATCTTTCCCACCCCACCCCACCCCCAACTTTGATACAAAATACAATACAAAATTGGGGGTATAAAAACATTTGAGGGGGGCTGGAGCAATAGCATAGCGGGTAGGGCGTTTGCCTTGCACGCGGCCGACCCGGGTTCGATTCCCAGCATCCCATATGGTCCCCTGAGTAACTCCTGAGTGCAGAGCCAGGAGGAACCCCTGTGCATCACCAGGTGTGACCCAAAAAGCAAAAAAAAAAAAAAAAAAAAAATTTGAAGGAAGAATGTGATTCAGAATCCTGTCCGCTTTTTTATCCACTAAGTTGTGACTTTAATCATGTCACTGAACTTTGGGGGTTAAGTTAAAAATATGGGCCACAGGGGCTGGAGCAATAGCACAGTGGGTAGGGTGTTTGCCTTGCACACGGCCAACCCAGGTTCGATTCCCAGCATCCTATATGGTTCCCTGAGCACCGCCAGGAGTCATTCCTGAGTGCAGAGCCAGGAGTAACCCCTGTGCATTGCTGGGTGTGACCCAAAAAGCAAAATATATATATATATATATATATATATATATATGGGCTCAGTCAAAGGGCTCAAACTCGGGCTTCAGGGGCTGTCGCCCCAGGTTCCGCCCTGACACTGTCGGGAGTGGCTCCTGAGGTGTGGCCAGACACAGAGCAAAATAAAATCAATCAAATCAATTTAAAAGAAAGGGAATGGGGGCTGGAGCAATAGCACAGCGGGTAGGGTGTTTGCCTTGCACACGGCCGACCCGGGTTCAATTCCCAGCATTCCATAGGGTCCCCTGAGCACCGCCAGGAGTTATTCCTGAGTGTAAAGCCAGGAGTAACCCCTGAGCATAGCCAGGTGTGACCCAAAAAGCACCAAAAATAAAATAAACAAATAAAGAAAGAAAAGAAAAGAAAGGGAAGGTCTGAGTTTCCTACAATTCCACATCCTATAACTGGACTGTTCCTTTAATTAAAACTCTGAGCATTTCCCAAGAGCAAATCTGTGATTTCTTCATCTTCATCCTACAGGGGGCTCTTGTGGGGTCTGATGCCAGCCCCAGTGGAGTGTGAGAACCAAGTCCAGCCGTGGCTGGTGACTGGGAATGTGTGACGTGGTGATGTGGAGACTTCTCCTCTTCCCAACCATAGGATCGTGTTGTACAAATAATTGAAGTGAATGATAATCTAATATGAGAAGTATCATCTTAACAGATTTTATTTTATTTTATTTTTTGCTTTTTGGGTCACACCTGGCGATGCACAGGGGTTACTCCTGGCTCATGAACTCAGGAATTACTCCTGGCAGTGCTCAGGGGACCCTATAGGATGCTGGGAATCGAACCCGGGTCGGCAGCTTGCAAGGCAAATGCCCTACCCGCTGTGCTATCGCTCCAGCCCCTCAACTTAACAGATTTTAAATTTAATATTTGTAGCACTGTAACACTGTCCTCCCGTTGTTCATTGATTGATTTGCTCAAGTAGGCACCAGTAACATCTCCATTGTGAGACTTCTTACTGTTTTTGGCATATCGAATATGCCACAGGGAGCTTGCCAGGCTCTGCCATGTGGGCGGGATACTCTCTGTAGCTTGCCAGGGTCTCAAAGAGGGACAGAGGAATAGAACCCGGGTTGGCCTCGTGCAAGGCACACGCCCTACCCACTGTGCTATCGCTCCAACCCAATTTAATGTTTATAGCACGGTAGCACGGTCCTCCCATTGTTCATCGATTTGCTCGAGCAGGCCCAGTAATGTCTCCATTGTGAGACTTGTTACTGCGTTTGGCATATTGAATATGTCACAGGTAGCTTGCCAGGTTTTGCCGTGTGGGTGGAAATAATCTTGGTAGCTTGCTGGGCTCTCCAAGAGGGGCAGAAGAATCGAACCCGGGTCGACCACGTTGGCCGCATTGGCTGAATGCAAGGCAAACGCCCTACCCGCTGTGTTATCGCTCCAGCCCAATTTAATATTTAATAATATCAAATTATTTAATATTTAATACTAAAACCATTTCATATTATTTAATATTTAATAATAAAACATTAAATATATCCCACGCACTAAATAATACAGTCAGGGCTGGAGTGGTAGAAAGCACGGAGGACACTTACCTTGCATGCAACTGACCCAGGTTCGATCCCCAGCATCCCATATGACCCCCTGAGCCCTGCTAGGAGTGATCCCTGAGCACTGTGGGGTGTGACCCAAAGACCAAAAGAAAAAGAAAGGGAGGAAAAAAAAAAGACCTGTGCCCTACGGAGGTCACGAGTTGCCCCCACGAGCGGCTCTTTAGCACGGCCATGGCTCCAGAGGCAAAAGGACTTAGTCTAGCTCCCTTCCGCCTTTATCCTCCCCTCCCCTCTGGCAGCAAGGTGGCCGCCACCTCAGAGCTTATAGGAAAGCCAGGTATGAGCCAGCGGTGACGGGCAACTGCAGTCTCATGGGAAGGGGGCGGTACCGGCTCGTCCTTCACGCCCTACCGAGGTCACGAGTTGCCCCCATGAGTGGCTCTCTGGCACAGCCATAACACCAGACACACAGAAACCAATCTCCTAATGATCTGGCTCTTTGCAGAAATCCACAATTGTAACTGTGTCACTTTATATGATTCTCATAACCAGCTATAGAAAACAAAATATTTCACAATGCCTTTTCAGCAATTCTGATTGTTGGGGGGGGGGGGGGACTCTAAACAATAATGGCGCATCTTTTGTCAAAATAATGAATGTAATCAATGTAGAGAAGAGTTAAGTGGAAATCATCTGCCTCACAGGCATTGGGAGGGGTGGAAGGGAGGTATATTGAGGTTCTTGATGGTGAAAAATGAGTACTGGTGTAGGGAAAGGTGTTTGATGATTGTATGACCGAGACTTAAACCTGAAAGCTTGGGGCTGGAGAGATAGCACAGCGGGTTGGGCGTTTGCCTTGCACGTGGCCAACCCAGGTTCGATCATCCCATATAGTCCCCTGAGCACCACCAGGATTAACTCCTGATTGCAGAGCCAGGAGTAACCCCTGTGCATTGCCAGGTGTGACCCAAAAAGCAAAAAAAAAAAAAAAAACCCTGAAAGCTTTGTAAGTTTTCCCACAGTGATTCAATAAACAAATATAAGAAGGAAAAAAAAAAGACCTGGGGCTGGAGTGATAGCACAGCAGGTAGGGCATTTGCCTTGCACACAGCCAACCCGGGTTAATTCCCAGCATCCCATATGGTCCCTTGAGCACCACCAGGAGTAATTCCTGAGTGCATGAGCCAAGAGTGACCCCTGAGTATCGCCGGGTGTGGCCCAAAAAGAAAAAAAAAAGGAATTTACTTAAGAGAAATGTGGAATGTGAGTGGAGAGGAAGAGAACAATGTTCTAGAGAGAACATGGACTTCTGCAGGGGTGTGGGGTAGGGAATGGCTTGGAGTGGGGGCAGGTTCTATACAGTTTCTCTCAACTGTCTTGACCTGGAATTCTCTGCATACATACATGTATGTATGTACAAGCTGGGTGTAGTCACGGGAAAGCCTTGGACTCTTGATGTCCCTTTTCTTATCAGGACCTTTATTTTTGTTTGAGGATGAGGGTCACACCCAGTGGTACTCAGCGCTGACTCCTGGTTCCGTATTCAGGGACCACTCTTGACACAGTTCCACCTGGGGTGCCGGAGCTCGAACCCGGGTCAGCTGCATGCAAGGCTAGTGCTCCACCCATTGCACTGTCATTCCAGCCCAACAATAACCTTTTCTGTTTCCAACTCTGAGTCGGAGCACCTTTACGATTCATTATTTTCATCCTTGAAAATATTGACGTGGGGGCTGAAGTGACAGCCCAGCAGAGAGGGCATTTGCTTCGCCAACCTGGGTCGGTCTTGTCCCTGGCATCCCATATGGTCCCATGAGCACTGCCAGGAGTGATTCCTGAGTGCAGAGCCAGGAGTAACCCCTGAGCATCGCCAGGTGTGACCCAAGAAAAGAATGAGAAGAAGAGGAGGGAGGGGGAGGGGGAGGAAGAGGAGGAGGAGGAGATATTGAAGCACCATGGATGAACACAGTGATCTGTCTTATAGATCTCTCCAGCCCCAGTAAAAGCCTCCCTCCTCCCCCCACCACCACACACCCCCATTCCATTCAAAGTGCTCAGAGGTTCTCCTGAACAGCTGGGCCCTGGGGGTTCAGAGCTGCTCTTTCTCCCCCAGTCTCCACCCTCGGAGGCCATCGTGGTTGCAGAGACTTCCAGAACAGCTGAACTTTAGTTTTCATGGCTGAAATAATCTGGTTGGATGTGCTCCATGATAATCACATTTTGATTTTTCTGTATTTTTATCTAACAGCCCAGAAAATTCGCGACTTACGTAGTGGCCTCGGGACTTCAATATGGATTGGAAGGAGGCATCCTACATGCGTTTTTTAAGGTAGGACTTTTCAGTGACCCTTGGCGAGGGGGCTTTTGGGGTGAGGAGGGAGTCACCCTGTGGTGCTCAGAGCTTACCCCCAGCTCTGTACCCAGGAATCACTCCTGGCCGGCTGGAGGGAACATACGGGGTGCCGGGGATGAGACCTGGACATCACACTGTGACTTTTGTACCACAACAAAGTCACCTGCCAAGGCATTTCTTACGACACGCCCCTCACATGGCCATGGACAGAGAGGACAGTAGTTGGTAATTGTGGAATATGCCCCATGTTGACAATACTGTGGAAACTACCAAGAGAAAGGCCGGGTGGGTGAAGAGATAGTTCAGGGGGGAGGACACTGGCCTCGCCCGCACCCAGCTCAGCTCCTGGTCTGATCTCGGCATCCCATCAGGTCCTCCTGAGTGAGCACCAGAGGGTGTGGCCCTCAAACAAAAATAAACCAAAAGAGTAAGGTGCTTGCCTTGCAAGCAGCCAGCGACCCTCTGGTTTAACCCCTAACACCACTGGGAGGGACAAAAAGGGAACAAACAGGCTGGAATATGAGGGAGCTTAGGAATAGAGCCCAAGAGAAACGGCATGGAATGGCACAAGGGAGGCCCAGGTGGTGCCTGTGAGCTGGGCGGGACCCCAGTAGCAGGTCATTTCAGCATCCTCATGTAGTGACCCCCATTCTTGGAACTTGGTAAAGAAATGCTCACTCAGCGCCCTCCCCTTTGTTAAAAGAGTATGGAATTGTTTATCTTTCTCTGGAACCCTTTTGTTGTTGTTAATGCGTTTTAAAATTTAATTCTATTTTTCTAAAGTTGTTCACAATGATTTATTACGTTCAATATTCCTGCACCAGCCCACCGTCATCACACCTTCCCACCACCATTATTTCCAATTAACCCGATCACCACCCAAGCTTGCCCCAATAGCAGGCCCTAAATGATTTATTATGTATTGCTTATTACGATTATTGGCTTAAAATGATAAAAAAAAAAGATTTCCTTAAAAGAAAGTGTATGGGGCTGAAGCAATAGTACAGCGGGGAGGGAGTTTGCCTTGTAGGCGGCTGACCCGGGTTCAAACCCCAGCATCCTATATAGTCCCCTGAGACCAGCAGGAGTAATTCCTGAGTGCAGAACCAGGAGTAACCCCTGTACATTGCTGGTCGTGACCCAAAAGCCAAAAAGATTAAATATGTGAAGATTTTTGTATCTTACCCTGGAGTGATCAAACTCTTGTAAAAGAGATTACTAACATATTGGATGAGAACGCTATTCGGGTCTCCCAAAGAGCTATGTTTGGAATACCACATTTCACTCAAATGAGAGAAAGAATCCGGAGTTTCGACCTCTGTCGATGATCAAGAATCAGGGACACTGTCTCATTTGCCAAGGCGTCAAAAATCAGATGGGCTGGTCACGTAATGAGATTTAGAGATGACCGCTGGACTAGAGCCGTTATCGACTGGATTCCACGGGATGTCAGAAGACCGCGTGGCCGCCCACCTACCAGATGGTCAGACTTCTTCATCAAGATCATGAACGATCGGTTTGAGGCTCTTCATGTTCCCAGAGTGAACAGATGCCATTGGGCTACACTAGCACGCGACAGGGACAAATGGAGACGCTACTGGCGCCCGCTCGAGCAAATCGACGATTAACGGGAAGTCAAGTGATAAAGTGAACATATTGTTACAGGGTAAACCTTATGGGCTAATATTTTCTTAATCGAGATGGGTTTCCTTCTGCTTCACATCCCATCCAATGTGGTGTGCTACTCCTGGTATATCAGTGATGGAGAGTATGAAATGTGGCAGGAATTCTAAAGTTTTAATGGAGTGATATAGCTGGAGTTAATTTTTTAACTGGATGGTGACTTTGAGGTCCGGAGTCATCTCTGCAGCTCTCTTCTGAGATTCAGGTGTGAGTCTCTGGATCATGGCCATTAATGAGTTTATATGGCACCAGAGGCAGTTCCTGGGTGTGACTGCCAGGCTCCCAGAAGAACGAGGACATGGGGGGGAGGTTGCCCATCCCCCGACTCTGTGAGAGTCTGGAGATTTCGGTCTGGAACCCTTCTTACGGAGACCCCACTCATGACCTGGGAGCTCCCCTGCTTTCTCGAAATTCCCTTCCTGTCTCTTCCCCAAATAAAGTCTTTCTGGGTCTGGCCACGCCAGCTCTGCTCCCTTGCTTCCTGCCTGTCTCGGCTGCTCCCAGCCCGAGTCCTGTGCCTGCTATGAACCACGTCTGGTGCTCCGAGCACCACCAGGGGGCACTTCTGGGCACAGAGCAAGCACTAGCCCTGAGCACTGCTGGGTGTGGGCCCCCCCAACAAAGAAACAAACAGGAAGGACGACACTGTGGGGAACAACCCCCTGAGCACTGAGCTGGGAGTAGCTCCCAGCACAGCCAGTGTGCCCTCCACTTCTAATACATCAGGAAGCACAGTGGGCTGGGAAGGTGGTTTCCTTATGAGGAAGGTCTGTTTCAGGTTGTTACTTTTTTTGTTTGTTTTTTGGGTCACACCTGGTGGTGCTCAGGACTGACTCCTGAACTCTGCACTCAGGGATCACTCCCGGTGGGCTCAAGGTCCCTAGGGGGTCCTAGGGATCAAGCCCTGGTTGTCGCAGGGCAAGAAGTGCTCTACCCACTGTGCTATCTTTCCGGCCCCCGGGCTCTGACAGTTGAGTGGAAGGTGAAAAACCTTCCTCTGGTGGAAAACCCGGCAGGCAGTGGGCACCACACACACACACACACACACACACACACACACACACACACACACTTTTTACTTCTAATTTTATTTTTATTCTTTTGTTTCGTTTGGGGAGTCACACCCGGTGATGCTCGGGGCTTGCTCCTAGCTCTGTGCTCACGGATTACTCCTGTTGAGCTCTGAGGCCAGACGTGATGCCGGGGATCAAACCTGGGTCTTTAGAAGGGTGGGAGTGATCACAAAGTCAGCAGGACACGTACATGGCAAATCCTACCAGCTGTACCGTCACTCCAGCTCTTCATTTATGATTATTTTTTAAACAGAACACATCTCCCCCAAATATGTCTCTTTGGCAGGCAGTTTTTTTTTATGGGGGGGGACACGCTCAGTAGTTCTCAGTGTTTACTCCTGGCTCTGACTCTGGGCTCAGGGATCATTCCTGGTGAGGTTCCGAGGACCATATGGGGTACTGGGGATTGACCCACGGTCAGCCACATGCAAGCCAAGTGCCCTCCCCACCGTTTTCCCTACCCACTCAAGCCTGGCTTGCAGAGATTTCCAAGGAAGATTAGTTAAGACTAAACAAACTCCAGCCTAGATGTTTGTCTATCCCTTCACAACCTAAAATAGTTTAGATAAAGGTTCATGTAGATGGCTTCAAGGGATTTTTTTTTGTTTGTTTTTTTGGCCCCCTGCAAAGCAAAAGTGTATTACTTTCTTGTACTATCTCATCAACTCCCTGGATTTTGTGTGTGGTTGTTTTTTTCCCAATCCACAGAAGGTGACTGGAATGACAACCATCTAATTATCAAATATCTGCCCTTCTTATCATTCTCTGAATCTGCCCCCTCCCCTTTGAAGACTCAGGCCCCTATCCTAATCCCAGGCCCCAGACTGCATTCACTGTTGTTTTAGGACCACACCCTGCATTGCTCAGGAGTTGCTCTCAGCTCACCGCTGGGGGTTACTCCTGGTGTGGTATGCAAGGGAGGATGGTATGCATTGATCATCCTCAGGGAAGTATGAAGTGCACTAGTGATCCTCATGGAAGTTTGCAGTGCACTGGTGGTCCTCCGGGAAATGTGCAGTACACTGGTGGTCCTCAGGGAAGTATGCAGTGCACTGGTGGTCCTCAGGGAAATATGCAGTGCACTGATGGTCCTCAGGGAAGTATGCAGTGCGAGGGACCATACTAGGGCCTCTCATATGTAAAACTTGTGCTCCAACCCCCTGAGCTCTCTTTTCATTTGCTTGTGGGCCAGGGCCAGTAGTTAGAGACTACTTCCCCTTGGGGTGGGGTGGAGGGAGTGGGTGTATGGAATTAGGGTGAGAACTCAAGACTCACACATGCAAACCATATACTCAGCCCGTTTGCTCTTTCTCCAGCCCTAGATGACCTATTGGGTAGAGGGTGTCTGTTTGCTTTGGGTGCTGGATGGGGCCCCTACCAGAGGTATTTGGGGACCCCCAGGGCTCCTGCATGCCCCTCAACATGGTCCCTGGAAGGATCATGTCTGTGAAGGGTCTTTTCACATAAGGAAAATTTTTGTGTAAGTTTTTGGAGTTGTTAATTTGGGGGTCGCAGCCAGTGATGCTTGGGGGTTACTCCTGACTCTGCTTTCTGGGTCACTCCTTGCAGCACTCAGGGGACCCATTGGGAGTGCTGGGGGGGGGGTGTGATGGAATCCCAACCCACCCCGTACAAGGCATGTGACCATCCTGCGGTACTATTGCTCTGCCGTCCCATGGCTTTTTCCTGTTGACTGCAGGTCACTTTCCCTGTTGGATGAGCCCAAAGGATTTTGGTAGGCGGAGGAAGCAGCTTCCTCCCCTCTGAGACCTGGGTGGTCCCCGAGGAGAACAGTGGGCAGGGAAGTAAGCAGACCCTGCCCAGAACCCCCTCCGAGTGCTGGGAATCAGTTGACCCTTGTGGGACTCACCGCCCGCAGGCCTCTGCTCCCAGCCTCCATCCCTATCCACACACCCTTCCTGGGTTGGTCTATTCACGCCTGTGTGCAGGGCCAAGGACCTGCAACCATAAGTCTCCAGTAAACTCTCCTCATTCTAGCTCTGTAGATCCAGTCCCTGACCCTACTTACTTGGATGCTTTTCTTTAATTGTTGTTTTGTTCTTTGGGCTACGCCCAGTGATGCTCAGGGATTTCTCCTGGCTCTGCACTCGGGGATCCCTCCTGGCGGTGCTCAGGGGAATATATGGGATGCCGGGGTTCAAACCCAGGTCTGCTATGTGTAAAGCAACTACCCTCTCCACTGTACTATGGCTCTAGCCTCTCATTTGGATGCTTTTCACAAGCTCTAAATCCAAACTATAGTTTTTTTATTTTTTATTTTTTGCTTTTCGGGTCACACCTGGCGATGCTCAGGAGTTACTCCTAATTTTGTACTCAGGAATCATTCCTGGCAGTGCTCAGGGGACCATATGGGTTGCTGGGAATCGAACCTGGGTCGGCTGCGTGCAAGGCAAACGCCCTACCCGCTGTGCTATCACTCCAGCCCCCAAACTATAGTTTTATAGGCTTTGGTTGTTTTGTTTTTGTTTTTGTTTGTTTGTTTGTTTTGCTTTTGGGGTCACTCCTGGCTCTGCACTCAGGACTTACCCCGGCAGTGCTCAGGGAACAATATGGGATGCTGGGAATCGAACCTGGGTCGGCTGCGTGCAAGGCAAACGCCCTACCCACTGTGCTATCACTCCAGCCCCCAAACTATAGTTTTATAGGCTTTGGTTGTTTTGTTTTTGTTTTTGTTTGTTTGTTTGTTTTGCTTTTGGGGTCACTCCTGGCTCTGCACTCAGGACTTACCCCGGCAGTGCTCAGGGAACAATATGGGATGCTGGGAATCGAACCTGGGTCGGCTGCGTGCAAGGCAAACGCCCTACCCACTGTGCTATCACTCCAGCCCCCAAACTATAGTTTTATAGGCTTTGGTTGTTTTGTTTTTGTTTTTGTTTGTTTGTTTGTTTTGCTTTTGGGGTCACTCCTGGCTCTGCACTCAGGACTTACCCCGGCAGTGCTCAGGGAACAATATGGGATGCTGGGAATCGAACCTGGGTCGGCTGCGTGCAAGGCAAACGCCCTACCCACTGTGCTATCACTCCAGCCCCCAAACTATAGTTTTATAGGCTTTGGTTGTTTTGTTTTTGTTTTTGTTTGTTTGTTTGTTTTGCTTTTGGGGTCACTCCTGGCTCTGCACTCAGGACTTACCCCGGCAGTGCTCAGGGAACAATATGGGATGCTGGGAATCGAACCTGGGACGGCCGTGTGCAAGGCAAACGCCCTACCCACTGTGCTATCGCTCCAGCCCCTATAGTTTTATAGGTTATATAAACTCTAAAGCGTGGGCGGAAACACGATCTTCCTTCTGTCTTCTAAGATCCTGGCTGAAATTTACTCATTGACTTTGGAGACTGTACTCGGCGCTGCTCAGGGCCCAGTGCTCGGGGCTGGGGGCTTGCTCCCTTCTGTGCTCCGGAGCCCCTGTGTGCAGAGCCTGTGCACAGTCTGTGGAGCTCTCCTTGACACCAGCTGATCTTACAGAGCGTTTCCTGGGTTGAACCCTTCACCGGAGAGATCTTGCCAACACGTCTGACTCCCCCTCGGTGGGTCCACTGGTTCACTCTGGGGGCTGGAGCCATAGCACAGCAGGGAGGGCGTTTGCTTTGCACATGGCCAACCCAGTTCGATCCCTGGCAGCCCATATGGGCCCCTGAGCACCTCCAGGAGTGATTCCTGAGTGCAGAGCCAGGAGTCACCCCCGAGCATCGCCGGGTGTGACCCAGAAAGCTAAAAACTAAAATAAAATAAAAAATAAGAAGAACTTGTGCTTTCCTTTCTTATAGATGGCTTGGCTTGGTGAGGTCCCCGCGTTACCAGTGTTTGGCAATGGACTGAACATCATTCCGACAATTCATGTTCTTGATCTAGCCGGGTAAGCCCCTGGGGGAGGGAATCAATGATGCCTTAGCTCCTGCAGTGAACTGGCGTGCATGGGTGTGTGTGAACCCTCACCAGGAGTCCCATTACGGTGGGAGGGACAGTTGGGTGAGACCCTGAGGGACTCTGGGCCATCCCTGCTCCCTGGCAGTACCTGAGGGCCCATATGTAATGCCCGGGATGGAACCAGGATCCACCTGGGGGACAGGCACCCTCACCCCACCGCTCCATGGCTCTGGAAGCACCGAGGACCAGAGCCTGCCCACTCTCCCCGCTCGCCCCTGATGGAAGGGCCCCACCTCAAAGCCTCGTGTCTGTGCTCACGTGTTCGGGCTCACCTTTTGGAACCTTGATTTTGCTTCTCTTCCACTTTTTGTTGAGGGGGGGACTTATTTCCAGGAGAGGGTGGATCTGGTGGTACTCAGGGTTACTCCTGTGTCTGCGCTCAGAGATCACCCCTGGCAGTGCTCGGGGAAGCATATGGGATGCTGGGGATCGAACCCAGGTCTGCCGCGTGCAAGCAAACGCTCTCCTTGCTGTACTATCGCTCCAGCCTCTACCGTCCGCTTTCGGGAAAGGAGGAATGGATTGTTCTGGGCCTCCTGGGGCAAAGCTTCTCTTTGCGTTGATCTGAGTCCACAACCCACTGACCCGGGCTGGCTCTCCTGGGAGCTTCCGGGGCCATGGCGGGTGCTGGGCCGCCTGCCTCCCCTCTCAGGGGCACCCCAGCCCTCTCCCTGGTACACCCCTCTCTCTCCCTCCCTCCCTTGCTCTCTCACTCCCTCCTTCCCCTTTCTCCCTCTCTCTCTCTCTCCTTTCTCTCTCTCCCTCCCCCCCTCTTTCTCCCTCTCCGCTTTCTGTCTCTGTGTCTCTGTCTCTGTCTCTCTCTCCTTCTCTCTCTTCCCCTCTCTCTCTTCCTCCCTCTCTTTCTCCCTCCCTCCTTCCCTTTACCCCTTTCTCTCTCTCTCATTTCTGTCTCTTCCTCCTCCTCTCTCTCTCTCCCGTTTCTCTCTCTCTCTCTCTCTCTGTCTCTATCTGTCTCTATCTGTCCCTGTCTGTCTGTCTCTATCTCCCTCTCTCCCTCCCTCTCTCTCTCTCTCTGTGTCTCTCTCTCTCTCCCTCTCGTTTTGTGGTCACGCGCTGAAGTACCGGGACGGGCTGGGCAGTAGGTGACTTGCGCGTGCCGTGATCTTCCCTCCCGCACCCTGTCCCTGTCCCCGCAGAGTGATCCAGAACGTCATCGATCACGCGCCCAAGATCCACTACCTGCTCGCGGTGGACGAGTCCGTGGTCACCCTGGAGGACATCATCAAGGTGAGGCGGCCACCAGCCACTCCAGCGGCCACGACTACCGTGACCGCTGTCACTGCCCGGCCACCGCAGCCACCACCACCCCAACACGTACTGCCACCACCACTGCCACTTCGCGCCACTGTTAGCTGCTCTTCCTCCTCCTCCTCCTCCTCCTCCTCCTCCTCCTCCTCCTCCTCCTCCTCCTCCTCCTCCTCCCATCACCCGCCCTGCTACTTCTCTTCCTCCCTCTTCCTCTTCCTCCTCTTCCTCCTCCTCCTCCTCCTTCTCCTCCTTCCTCCACAGCCTTCTTCCTCCTGTTCTTCTGAAATAAACTACTTTCTTTTCTTTTGTTTTCTTTTGGGGGGACGGGGTGGGGGGCAGTGTCACACCCAGCGAAGCTCAAGGGTTACTCCTGGCTCTGTGCTCAGGGATCAATCCTGGTGGTCTCCAGGGACTATTTGTGGTGTTGGGGATCAAACCCAAGTCAACCAACCCCTGTAAAGATGGGCACCCTACCCACTGTACTATTGCTCCAACCCATAAAAACATTGTTTTTATTTCGTTATATTTGTGGAGTTGTATAGAAAAGTTTGTGGATGAACCAAATAACATTTGTGTGTTTTTTTCCTTATAGTGCATCAGTAAAAGTACCGGCCCAGGGAAGATTCAGAAGGTCCCCAAAGAAAATGCTTTCTTAACGAAGGACTTAAAAGTGAGTGGAAGAGGGGCTGGAGTGATAGCACAGCGGGTAGGGTGTTTGCCTTGCATGCGGCCAACCCAGGTTTGATTCCCAGCATCCCATATGGTCCCCTGAGCACCGCCAGGGATAATTCCTGAGTGCAGAGCCAGGAGTGACCCCTGTGCATCGCTGGGTGTGACCCAAAAAGCAAAAAAAAAAAAAAGTGAGTGGAAGAGATTTCGTCCCCACACATAGAGCTTCTGCAAGCTTAGGGGTTCAGTGACCTTCCTGGCACCTCCCTGCTAACCTCACATTTTCTCCAAGTACACTCATGCTTGTCCTCTTCTGACTGCTTTCTGTACTGAAAAGATTGTAGTCAGGAAATGCACTTGGAGGTATAGGTGGTTGTCTGCCCCTCATCCGGGAGGAAGGGACGTTCTAAGACTCCTAACAGATGCCTGAAGCTGAAGATAGTCTTAAACGCCCTACACGCAGTTCTTTTCGGACATACATTCTTCTGATAAAGTTTAATTGAATTTATTTAAATTTTGTTTGGGGGCCACACCGGGCAGTGCTCAGGGCTTGCTTCTGGCTCTGTGCTCAGGAATGACTCCTGGCAGGTCCAGAGATCATATGCCAGCTCATCCTTGTGCAAGACAAGTGTCCTACCCATTGTACTATCTCTCTGACCCCTGTTCATAATATCTTTGAACCTGTGGGTAGAACTGAGAAATTGGAATAATAAGGTAGAGCAACTCTAGAAGAACTGTGCTCAGGGTTGGTTTTGTTGCTTGTTTGTTTTTTAGTTTTGGGGGGCCATGCCCAACAGTGCTCAGTCCTGACTGTGCTCAGGGATCACTCCTGGCAGTGCTTAGGAGACCATATGTGGTGCCGGGGATCGAACTCTTGTTGGTCACATGCAAAGCAAACGCCCTCCCTGCTTTCTGTCACTCTGGCCCGGAGCTACTGTACAATCACTGGATATCATTTACTTTGGCTTCTTTGAACCGAGTGGGAGCGTCAGATTTCAATTCCATTACTAACGGAAGTTATTATTATTTCAAGCCCAAACTAACGGAGGCTTGTAGTGTGTTCTTTAAGCTTGCTTTGAGAATAAAGGAATTGTTGGGGGCCAGTGGAGGTTGGGGCCACACCAGGCGGTGCTAGGGTCAGTCCTGGCAATGGCCAGAGAATCACGTGGTGCTGGGCATCGAACCCAGGTCACCCACGTGCAAGGCATGTGCTCAGCCCTTTGAACCATCTCAGTGGCTGGTTATCAAACTGAGTATGTCGCGCACAGACGTTGCATCTGAGAAAGTTTTAGGACGGTCTGATCTCGTTGGTGGCCTCTGAGCAGCAGAATTGGACGGGAGATGGGGGCCTGTTGGGTGCCTTTTCCTCTCTGCCTTTAGTTCTGAATTTTGCTTCTTGGGGAGGAGGGAAAAAGTGGTGAGGCTTGAGCCCAGGGTCTTTATAGAAAGAAAGCACTGAAGGCAGTGCTGTATCTTCGAGCTACTTCCCTGATGCCCTTTTATATTCTGAACCTCAGTGTGGCACCCTTCAAAAAGTGTGGACTTGGGGCTGGAGTGAGAGCACAGCGGGCAGGGCGTTTGCCTTGCACGCGGCCGACCCAGGTTCGATTCCCAGCATCCCATATGGTCCCCCGAGTACCGCCAGGAGTAATTCCTGAGTGCACGAGCCAGGAGGAACCCCTGTGCATCGCCGGGTGTGACCCAAAATGCAAAAATAAATAAATAAATAAAAGTGTGGACCCCCCAGGGACCTGTGGATCAGCCACTGAGCGTGGCTGCATGCAGGAGCCCAGGTTGATCCCCAGGACCACATGGTTAGCCCAGCACCCCCAGGGATGGTCCCCAAACACAAACCAAACCAAACAGTGTCGACACGGGCCTGGAGAGAGAGCACTTGCCTTGCACGCAGCCAACCCACGTTCTACCCTCAGCTCTGTGCACAAGGTCCCCTTGCCTTTTACTGCTGTTACTCCTGGGAGTAATTCTGAGCACAGAACAGAAGGAGGCCCTGAGCACTGCCAGGGATGTGTCTTGAGGGCTGGAGATACAGCTCGGTGTCAAGTGCTTGCTTGGAATGTGTGAGAGTGTGATCCCTGGCAAACGCAAAAGCAACACAAAACCCTTCCGCACCTCGATACTTGAACGTCGGGTACCTTCCTAATCCTCCCCCTGCTGGTTGATGACACGAGAGGAAATGGTGGGAGGCGAAAGGCGGGGGGTGGGGGGGACGAGGCGGGTAAAAGAGGGGAGCACGGTGCCGTCCAGTCCGAGGGCCGCAGTCACAGCCCCTCGTGTTTAGCCAACGGACGGACGTAGCGTCCCGCTCTGCGTCTGTCCTCACTGTCCAAACGCATCCCTCAGCAAGAGGCCCTGGACCACTTGCTGATCAATTGTCGGATGGAAGCACTCTACGTGAAGGAGAACTTCAACATCCGGTGGGTTTCGCACACGGGCTTCGTGGAGAACATCGTCGGGATCCTCAAGGAGTACAAGCTGAGCCGACGGCTGCTGGTAACTACGTCCGTTCTGTCCGCTGACCCCCACTTCCTGCCTAAGCCAAGTCAAGGGTCCCCACTGTTTCCCCTGGCCAGGCTCAGGGTTCCTGAATGCAAGCTCTGTTTCACACCGACCCCTGTTCTCTCCGCGGCTGACAATCTCCTATGCATAGATTAGGAATACTTGTCCACCGGAGATTGAGTTTCCTCTGTCCAACACTGATGCTGGTTCTCGTGTGCCTGACCCACGCTGAACTGACAGTAAGCGTGAGATCAAGGCTCACACACCCTGCCCTGCCTCCCGCCTGGACCAGGGGAACGTGGAGACAGAGGTACGGGAGATGCACACAGGCGCTTGGCCCTTCCAGCTGGCCACAGGACTCACTGCTTATTTTCATTATCTTGACTCTACAATTATTGTGTTTTATTTTTTTTTTAACGGGAGGCGTGACTGGGGTCATACCTGGTACTGCTCCGGGGTTACTCCTGCCTCTGTGATCAGAGGTTCACTCCTGGCCATGCTCAGGGGACTATATGGGGCCCCAGGGATCAAACTGGGGTTGGCCATCTGCAAGGCAAGTACCTCACCCCGTGCCATATCTCTAGTTTGGTCCCCACACTAGACATTAATTTTTTCACTTGAATCGCTGTGAGGTGCACAATTACAAAGTTGTTGATGGTCGGGTTTCAGGCAGACAATCTTCCAACACCCGTCCCTTCAGCAGTATGTATTTCCCACCATGAATGTTCCCAATTTCCCTCCCACAACCTCCAGCCTGACTCTATACTTCTCTCTCTGTCTCTCTGTCTCTGTATCTGTCTCTCTGTGTCTGTCTGTCTGTCTCTGTCTCTCTGTCCTCTCTGTCCTTGTCTCTGTATCTGTCTCTCTGCCTCTGTCTGTCTGTCTCTGTCTTTCTGTCCTCTCTGTCCTTGTCTCTCTATCTGTCTCTTTGTCTCTGTATGTCTGTCTCTGTCTCTCTGTCCTCTCTGTCCTTGTCTCTGTATCTGTCTCTCTGCCTCTGTATGTCTGTCTCTGTCTCTCTGTCCTCTCTGTCCTTGTTTCTGTCTCTGTCTCTCTGTCTCTATCTCTCTCTTCATCTGTCTGTCTGTCTGTCTGTCTCTCTCTCTCTCTCTCTCTCCCCGCCCCACCCCCTTTTTGGGCATTATGGCTCTCAACACAGGTACTGAAAGGTTATCAGGTATATCCCTTTATCCTATTTCTGCACTCAGTTCTTGACGCTAGACATTTTTAACTAAAAATAAGTAAAAGATGTACCATTTAGCCAAAGGAATAACGATCCTGGGAGAGAGAGAAAAGAAAGAGAAGCAGAGGGCGGGAGCTGAGCGCTCTGGGTACCCCAGGCTGCTGGGCCTTTAGCCTGATGATGCTCCTGGGTGGTACCCACAGTCAGGGATGCTATGAATACTGCAGGGTGTGGCCCCAAATCAAAGACAGCAGGAGATCTTCCGGCTCCTGGGGCCACAGCTATAGTGCAGCAGGCATTTGCCTTGGACCTCTTGCACCCCTTAGGCAGGACTGGGAAGAACTTGATAAAAGGATCCAGCAGGTCTGAAAGGAAGGAAATCCCGACCCAGCCCTGGCCCACCAAGCGGAGTTTCCTAGATCAGCGGGAGCTCGGGACTTCTGCTCCGGAGGGGGTGTGACATGGGGACAGGCAGAGAGATGGGACAGCGAGGAGGGCACTTGCACGCAGCCAACCCGGATTCGATCCCTGGCATCCTGTCGGGTCCCCTGAGCTCCACCAGGAGTGATTCTTGGATGCAGAACCCAGAGTAAGCCCCGTGACACAAAAACCAAAAGAAGAAGAAGAAGGTTCCCTGGAGCATGGCCTGTGCGGTGCAGCGGGTTCTCAGAAAGGCAGAGGTCCAGTCTGGGGAAACCCAGCCCGGGGTGGGGTCTGTCCGGCGCCCCTCCCCCCACGCAGCCCACCCTTCTCTCCCCTCCAGCCCATCAAGATTTGCATCCTGGGCCCGCCTGCTGTGGGCAAGTCCAGCATCTCGGAGGCCTTGTGCAAGCACTACAAGCTGCATCACATTAAGCTGAAGGATGTGATTTCGGAAGCCATCACTAAACTGGTACCTCCCCCTGCCTCCTGGGCGCTGTCCAGATGCTCTTCTCCTGTTATCTGTGGGGAGGCCCCCCCAGGAGATGCTTCCAGCAATGCTCAGCCGATAGGCCACGATTCAGGGCTCAGCCTGAGGATGTAGCACGACTCGGGGGCCAGTGGGGGCCACATGGGTGGGGCTCAGGGACCCCAGTTCCACCTTCCTATCCTGCGCGGGGGTGGGGGTGCGGCTGCAGTGCTGGGCATGAAGATTCTGGAATATCTCCTTGGTTGCTCTATACATTTTTATATATTTTTGTTTGTTTTCTTGGGTCACTCCCAGCAGTGCTCAGGGCTAACTCCAGGCTCTGCGCTCAGGGATCTACTCCTGGTGGGGTTCAGGGGGGCCATATAGGGTGCCAGGGTCAACCACCCACAAGGCAAGTATACCTTACCCACTATTGTATTATTACAGTCCCTCATTAACTGTTTTTGGGGATTTTTTTGGCTTTGGGGGCCACACCCAGAGATGCTCAGGAATTACTCCTGGTGCTGCTCAGGGGACCATATAGGATGCCGGGAACTGAAACTGGGTTGGCCGTGTCCAAGGCAAACACCCTCCCCGCTGTACTATCGCTGCAGCCCCTAGTAACTACTTCATAAAAAAAAAAAAAACAGTTTTAAAATTAGCAACTTTAGGGCTGGAGCAATAGCACAGTGGGTAGGGCGTTGGCCTTGCACGCGGCCGACCCGGGTTCAATTCCCAGCATCCCATATGGTCCCCCGAGCACCGCCAGGAGCAATTCCTGAGTGCATGAGCCAGGAGTAACCCCTGAGCATCGCCGGGTGTGACCCAAAAAGAAAAAAAAAATTCCTCGAGTTTTGCCTTCAGACTGTGTGCCTCCACCCCAATTCACTGCTATTTCTATGTTCATTTGGGGGGGGTGTGGTGGTGGTGGTGTGGGGGGACAGCACACCTGGCAGTACCTAGGGACTCCTCAAGGCTTGGTGCTCAGATAGCCTTTCCTTGCCCGGGATAGAGCCCGGGCTGTACCCGGCACCCTGTGGGTAAGAATGGGACATACCGAGACGCGTTTCCACACAGAACGGTCGCCAGTCCTGAGCTCAGTGGTGTGTACTGTCGTCTCCAAGTCAAAGGCAACCTGCTACTTACAGCGGGAAGGGCGCTGGCCTTGCGCCCAGCCAAACTGGGTTAGATCCCCGGCATCCCATAGGGGTCCCCTGAGCACCGCCAGGAATGACTCCTGAGCGCAGAGCCAGAGGTAAGCCCTGGGCACAGCCGGGTTTGGCCCCCAATCAAAAATAACCTGCTACTTAGAAAATTGTTCACTGGGGGCTGGAGAGATAGGACAGCGTGCCAAGCGCCTGTCTTGCTGAGCCACGAGAAAGCCCTGAGCACCGTTGGGTGCTAAATTTGTTAAAAAAAAAAAAAAAGGAGGAGGAGGAGGAGGAGGGAGAGGGAGGGAGAAAGAGAGAGAGAGAGAAAGAGAGAGGGGGGAAGGAGGGAAGAAAGAAGGAAGGAGAAAAAGAAAAAGACCAGAGCAATAGTACAGCAGACAGGGCACTTTCCTTGTATGCAGTCAACCTGAATTTGACCCCCGGTGTCCCATAGGGTCCCCAGAGCCTGCCAGAAGGGATCCCTGAGCACAGAACCAGGAGTAAGCCCTGAGCACAGCCAGGTGTGGCCCCAAAACAAACAGACACAGAAAATCGTTAATATATTTTCACTGTTAGGAGGTCAGGGGTGGCCCCCAGGCCCTCTTAACACCTGGCCTTTGGCCAAGCTGCCTCCCCAGCCCTCTGGCATCCTTTCTGACCCTGTTGGGAGTGAGCACAGCCCTGAAGATTCTCCTAGCACTGCCCCTGCGTGCATGCCCGCCTGCGCTTGGTGGGCTGCAGCTGAGTGGGGCTATCCACGCAGGAAGCCATCGTGGCACCGAAGGAGACAGCACAGGGAGAGGATCAGAGCGAAGAGGAAGAGGAAGAGGAGGAGGAGGAGGAGGAGAACGTGGAGGAGGCACAGGAGCTCTTGGATGCCATCAAGGAGAGCCTGGAGCAGAATGCAGGTAGGGCCCCATGGGCGGGCGGGCAGGCGGCGTCTTCCAGCTTGGGCGATGAAATGGACTGGTTGCCCATTGAGAGTCCACGGAAATGGCCACTCGAAGGCTTTGGGGACCATATGGGACACCGGGGGGTCAAATCTAGGTTGACAGCCTGCAAGGCAAGTGCCCTGTCTTCTGCCCCTCATGGGGGCGTGGCAGAATTCACCTTACGCTTTCGGGGGGTCTACCTGATCATTACCTGGGGGGAAGGGACAGTTCGGGGAGATGGCCAAAGGCCAGTGTGCACGCTGCGTGTTCCAGAATCTCAGGTTCGGTCCCCTCCTCTGCACCGTCCCCTGAGCACCAACGCCACCAAAAGTTATCCTCAACCAGTGTGCTGAGAGTAGTCCCCGAGCACTGCCAAGAGAGCCTCAACATCCCCCACCCCAGGAGAAAACACTGTAGCACTGTCACTGTTCTCCCATTGCTCTCATCGATTTGCTTGAGCAAGCCCAGTGACGTCTCCATTGTGAGACTTGTTGTTACTGTGTTTGGCATATCAAACACATCACCGGGAGCTCGCCAGGCTTTGCTGTGCGGGCGAGATACTCTCGGTAGCTTGCTGGGCTCTCCGAGAGGGGTGGAGGAATCGAACCCGGCTTGGCTGGCCGGCAGCACGCAAGGCAGACGCCCTACCGCTGTGCTCTCGCTCCAGCCCCAGGAGAAAAACAAAAGAAAAAGATTGTTGGGGACAGAGCAATAGGACAGTGAGCCGGGGGTTTGTCTTGTATGTGTCTGACCTGGGTTTGATCCCTGGCACCCCCATACGGTTCCCTGAGCTCCGCCAGGAGTGATCCCTGAACATAGAGCCAGAACCAGGAGTCAGCCCTGAGCACTGCCAGATGGGACCCAAAAACAAAAGCCAAGGAAAGAAAAATCAAGAACTTTCCATAATTACTACATCATATTTGATGGGACTTGACAGTAGGCAACGAATCATAGAGGGATATGTGTATATATATATATATATATATATATTTACATGTATATATATTTTTTCAGACATATATACCAAAGCTCACATCACCCAAACCATAACAACATGTTAGTGATAGCCTATAGAATGTCTTAATGGCTCCTGCCAAAAATAGAACAATCTTCACATTGTTTTCCATATGAACACTTTTTTGTAAGTATGTTCAGCAGTTCTTCATAACAGAAAATACAAAATATATTCTTTTGGTTGTGTTTTGGGACAGGGATTGGGGCTTGGGATGGAAACATCCCAAATTTGGTGGTGGGAAGGTGTCATGGTGGTGGGATTGGTATTTGAATATTGAATGTAATCAAATATTGTGACGTGACTTATAAAATTAGAAAGTTTAAAAAAAGAAAATTTGAGAAAGAAAAAGATCATTAATTAATTTATTTAATTTTTATTAGTGAAACACCATGAGGTACAGTTGTAGACTTACAAATTTTTGTGCTTGGGTTTCAGTTATACAATGATCGAGTACCCATCCCTCCACCAGTGCCCATTCTCCACCTCCAGTGCTCCCAGTATCTCTCCCACCCCCATCCCCCCATCACACCCTGCCTCTGTGGCAGGGCATTCATTCCCTTTTGTTCTCTCTCTCCTTTTGGGTGCTGTGGTTTGCAAAAGAGGCATTGAGTGGCAATCATGTTTGGTCTATAGTCTACCTTCAGCATGCTTCTCCCACCCTGGGCGGATCCTCCCAACACCCTTTATTTGGTGCTCCCTTCTCTATCTGAGCTGCCTTTTCCCCTAGCATGTGCGGCTGGCCGCCAAGCCATGGAGCAAAATTCCTGGTACTAATCTCTGCCATTCTTGGGTGTTAGTCACCTATTTTGTTACTTTATGTTCCCCAGATGAATGCAATCTTTCTATGTCTGTCCCTCTCTTTCTGACTCATTTCGCTTAGCATGATACTTTCCATGTAGTACCACTTGTATGTAAATTTCATGACTTCATCTTTTCTAACAGCTGTATAGTACTCCATTGTGTAGGTGTACTAAAGTTTCTTTAACCAGTCTTCTGTTCTCGGGCACTCGGCTTTCAAGAAAGATCGCAAGAGATGAACCAGAAAATAAATATTTGGTGGCTGGAGCAGTAGCACAGTAGGTAGGGCGTTTGCCTTGCATGAGGCTGACCCGGGTTCGATTTCCAGCATCCCATATGGTCCCCTGAGCAACGCCAGGGGTAATTCCTGAGCGCAGAGCCAGGAGAAACCCCTGTGCATTGCCGGGTGTGACCCAAAAAGCAAAATATATATATATATATATTTGTCTGGTAACAAGGGGTTAACATCACTTAGATGTAAAATATTCAGGTAAATAAGAAAGACAGTAAGTCCTTAATAGGAAGAGAAAAAAAAATAGTGTGAACCAATAATTCATGAGAAAAGAAATACCAGTAAGTGGGAAGATATTTCACTTGCCTGGTAATATTTATCCAGCCACTGAATAAATTAAATGGAGACTCCTAATTGCCTGAAGACTAAAACCCCAAGGCTGATGAGGTCACTTTTCTCCACCTGGGACTTTCCGCTGGTTCCTGCCACTCTGGAGAATCAGGAACTTCTTTGTTTATTCATGCTTTTAAGAAGCAGTTCCTGGGGCCAGAGTGATAGTACAGCAGGGAGGATGTTTGCCTTGTGCACGTGGCCAACCCCGGGTTCAATCCCCAGCATCCCATATGGTCCCCCAAGCACCGCCAGGAGTAATTCCTGAGTGCAGAGCCAGGAGTGTGACCCAAAAAAGAAAAAAAGGGGGGGGAAAGGAGTAGTTCCTGATTGCAGAGCCAGGAGTCACCCCTGAGCGTTGCTGGGTGTGACTCAAACGGCAAAAAAATAAAAAATAAAAAAAATAATTAAAAAAGCAGTTTCAACCTAAAGAATCACAAACTGACTTTTGGGCCACCCCCAGCCCCCAGGGCTGCTCCTTCCTCTGGACCCATGGGTCACTCCTGGAGGTGCGCTGGGGACCAGTTATCCGCCCCCGCTACACACACACCTCACCCAGCCTCCCAACTGTTTCCTCAGGGCATGTGCTTATGAGCTGGGAAAGTCTGGGGAAGTCAGCTGCTGACTTCATTGGCGGAAGTACAATGATTTCATTCTGAGCCTTAGTTCGTGGCCTGCCCTCCCCCTGGACGGGGCGTCCCGGGTGAAGCCAGAGGTTTGGCCTCTGTCCTCCTTGCCCTGGATTGCTTTGCCTCTTGTTCACGGCTCGCACCCGTGACTCATAGAACTGTGTGCAGCCGAGTTGCAGGCTTCTGCGGGGATTTTTTTTTTTAATGTGGAAAATACAAATTGAATTTTTTAAAATTTTTATTAGTGAAACACCATGAGGTACAGTTGTAGACTTACAGATTATTGTGCTTGGGTTTCAGTTATACAATGATCAAATACCCATCCCTCCACCAGTGCCCATTCTCCACCACCAATGATCCCAGTAACCCTCCCTCCCTTCCCCCCCCCCCCCCCATCCCACCCTGCCTCTGTGGCAAGGAATTCCCTTTTGCTCTCTCTCTCCTTTTGGGTGCTGTGGTTTGCAAGAGAGGCATTGAGTGGAAATCATGTTTGGTCTAGAGTCTACTTTCAGCATGCTTCTCCCATCCTCGGCTTTCTCCTCTCACTCTGCCAGGGTGACCTTCCACAGCTGAGCCAGGGCTGTCTGGTGGCCCTGGGCTGAGCGCTGGCCCTTTTTTCCTGGGGTCGTGCTTCTGGGGGTCCTTCCCTGACCTGCCCACCTGAGGATACCCCGACTCACCCTTCCTTCCTTCCTTCCTTCCTTCCTTCCTTCCTTCCTTTAAATTTTTGGGTCACTGGCTCTGCACTCAGGAGTTACTCCTGACAGTGCTTGGGAGATCACAGGGGATGCTGGTAATTGAACCCGGATCGGCTGCGTGCAAGGCAAACGCCCTCCTCACTGTGCTCCAGTCCCCACCCCTGGCTCTTGACCACCGGCCCCGGTTCTGCCCTCCTGGTCCTCTCATTCCCCTCCCTGCTGTCCCCTTCCAGATACTTATCCTCGAACTCCTCGGACCCTCCACTGATTCCGGGTGACCCCTGCCCCTCACCCTAAAGCCCGCACAGACCTGTCCTTAGCAGAAGGCTCTGGGACTGACACCTCCCTACCTCCCTTTAAAAGAAGTCGCTGGGACCGTCGGCCCAGGGGATGTGGTCTTTGGGGTTCAGGGACACTGTCATTCCCTCCAACCCCAAGCTTCCAGACCGGAACACCCACCCTGTCCGGGTGTGGCAGCCCCTAGCCCACTTCTAGACCAAGAACCTTTTCTCCAGAGCCAGAGTGACAGAACAGTGGGTCGAGGGGTTTCTTCCTCAAGGAAGCCCCCACTGCTTCCTGTGCTGCTGACCTGGCACTGGGGTCCAAACCCGGATCATACCCGAGCCAAGCAAGGCCTTGGACCCGTGTCCCCGGCTTTCCTGGGGAAACACTGCTTGAGGACACGGGGGCTGCGTCACTTTCCTGCTGAGTTCTTTTTTCTTTTTTTCTTTTTGGGTCACACCCGGCGATGCACAGGGGTTAACTCCTGGCTCTGCACTCCAGGAATTATTCCTGGCAGTGCTCAGGGGACTATATGGGGTGCTGGGAATCGAACCCGGGTCGGCGGCGTGCAAGGCAAACGCCCTACCCGCTGTGCTATCACTCCAGCCCCCATGCTCCGAGTTGTTTTATTCCAATTTCCAACACAAGCTTCACACATTCTCCTCAGCCTCAACTTGATGTCGGTGGACCCCACGGGTGGCTCACGCGAGTCGGGAGGAGAGGGAGACCGTCACCCTCTCTCACTCCGCTTCTGCCACCCTTGAGTCCCTGGGAAGCCTGGGACTGGTAAAGTCTGCAGTGAAACCCAGCTCAGCTCGGGTCTGAGCCCTACCAGCCCCACAAGGTGGCTGTCAGGCCACACCTGAAGTCCACTTGGTCTCGGCATGGGAGTTGATTCTCGCCACCTGATTGCTCGGGGAGCCACGGACTCA